GCATGTTAATATGTGAAAACAATATCTTCAACTGGCGGGCCCAATTATAACTCACAACCACATTAACAACAATACCCAATTGCTAAACATCAAAAATAATAATAATTTAATAATAAAAAAAAAACCGTGACTATTTATAAGAACCGCCGGGGATAATATAAATTCCTACATGAATAAAATCAAGTTAAACCTCGTCTAATAACTTCAACAGTATATCACTTATTATCAAGTATTTTAAATTAAATGTCAAATCGCACAATATTGTGAAATCGTTCGCACGTCTTCTATAGAAATATAGTGCATAAATAAAGTATCAGATTTTAATATTTTTCATCTAAATGTTTTGAATATAATGTCCACACTATTGGTATCTGACTCAAATTTCCTGTCTTTTTCAATGAACCATATTTTTTTCTTGAATACATTAAAGATCATATTTGAAAGATAAGCAGGATTTATTGTTGAAATGTTGGGAGTCACTGCTTTAATATTTTAAGCCAAATTGATGCATTATACGATTTTAATTTACGTTTTTTTAGCGGATTCCAAATGTTCTTTAATTTTTGGTTGAGGTTTATTAAGTCAGACGGGCACTGTTCAGGTAATGTGGCGGCGTTCCAGCAAATATCCTCCGGCGCCCCATCATGCATTATTTCAGGCACCTGTGTAGAACCGCTGCTTTATGAAAGAATCTCAAAGTCCCGGGTAGGATTTATACACAGTGATGGTGAGGACAGGGGTGGTGGAAGGGGGATGGGAAAAGAGGCAAGTGGTTCGAGATCATCGTTCTTGAAATATCAGTTCATATATGATATGGTTTCCCCACACGTTATAACTTTACTAAACTTAACAGATAAGTAAAATATCATTTAAGACTATAACTAAATTATAAATATTCGGCATGGATCTGATCGTTTTGGATAGATATTTGTTAATCTTTATTCCTAACAATGTAAGATCTATGTTCAAATTCCCCCCTTTTAATATTTGTAACTTTTCCAAAATAGGTTTGTGTATTAAATTTTACACGCGTAATCATTTCATATACAAAAATTTTTGACACCTTGAGTTGCTATAAGTTTGTAACACCCAAGGTTAGCTAAATCATCATTCCTGTTTCGGCACCATATAACCGAATTTGTGTTGGTGTGCCGTAAAACCAAACCAAAGGAAGGATTATGAGATATGATCTGCAATCAAAAACATTTACTCATTTATCTCAACTAGGGTATATATTGTAATATATAATATACCCTGACTTGACCAATCAAAATCGAGTTCACTTGACTTTTTATAAAATGATTTAATCTTGAATAAAATTAACAAATTCCATATTCAATGTAATCTCACTAACTTTTTTAAATAATCAACCTATTCCATATGTAGAAACAATTATAACATTCAATTATAGAATAACAATCAAATACATTGTATACAAAAACTGTACACAATTGTTTTCTAAATGAATTACAAAAACTTAACATATGCTGATAAAATAAGTATTTTACAAACGTATCCTCAGTGAATGACAATACTTTTGAAATACAAATTCATTCATGAAAGAATTAACAGTTATTTCAGTTACATAAATAGAAAATGCTGACAATTTCATCAAAAACTTAAAATAATTATTCAGTTTTTTTCTTTACCAAGTCATTTGCCTAAACCAAATGACATCATAAATAATCTAATGACATCATATCTAATATGAAATAATATATCTAATATAATCATGTCACATTTAGTATCATGGTTAATCATTGACTCTGGTGACCTTGACCTTTCACCCTCTCACCATGGAAATACTGTTTCAGTTTCACACATCTTTCTGTTTGGAGACTGCATACGAAACAACTTCCATGTTATGGTTAGGGTTCATGTTTTGTGACAGACAGACAGACAAACAGTCATACTAAAACAATATGCTCTCCTGATCTATCGATCTGAGATCATAAAAATTAAATGTGGAGATACCTGAATGTATTTAAATCTTTAAAATATACGTGGAAATTATATTCCCCATGTGGTAAACATAAATGTATATAATTTTATATTATAAAGTTTATATTTATAATAAACCGTAACAACTAACTAACACACAATGGTTCATCAAGTTCATATTGTCACCTTAGTGCAATAACTGGTTAACTCCTATTAAAGTTAGAAGGACTTAACCTCTTACTGCACTAAAGTGACACAATTTATTATGACCAGCTTCATGTCTAAATATTGCCAAACATGTCCTTAAAGCAGCATGCCTCCAGATTCTTGCTAATTTTCATGAAAATTTTGAAAATATATTTGGGAGTTACAAATTTGATTTTCTTGAAATATTTTGGCTCATCTGGAGGCGTGCAGCTTTAATGCCATGTTCAAATTCCATACACCCTGTATTCAAATACAAAACCTACAACTATTTTCAAGGCATGTGCATGTATATTCAACTATGCATTGATCTCTCCAACAGAGATTTCTACATGTTTAAATCAGAACAAAAATAATATTTTAGGCATTTCATAATATATATATATGAAAGAGAATTCAAAACATTTCAAATATATACAAATTTTCGATATAAGGTTAAAATAACAACAACAATAAATACAACGATTCTTAAGAAACAGTAATAAAAGAAAATTGCACATCTTATATATCTGAACAGAATTATGGCACTGGAAAAGGTAGGTGGAATGCTGATGTCATAAATAACAATCTCAACATATATGATGTCATAAATAATGATGTCATAAATAACAAACTAAACAGACATGATGTCATAAATATAAATATCAAATCAGATACAGTCCTCTTAAGTCTGACTGTTACTGTGGTGTAATGAAAAAGTCGGGATAAAGTTAAAGCCACTCTGACCATGTTAACATAATGTCACTTGATGACTTTCCAATTAAACTTAAATCAGGCTTAATGTGTACTTCTGCACAATATTAAGGCAAAAATCAACATCCTAGTTTAACCCTACAACCTTTATTATGTTTTCTGAATGGCTTACATACAGATGGGAAGAACTTGGGTCTCATAAAAAAAAACACACACACACACAGAAAAACAACATGTAAATAGTAAATGGATGCCTTGCAAGTTTTAAAAACTTAGTCTATAAAGCCACACATCTGCTGTCAGTAGTTTACAAAATTTTGGTCTGAATTTGAGAAATATAATTCTAAAATAAGGCCCATGATGCCTAAGCAATGTTTTTATTTTCCTTCCACAAAAGCTTTTATCTACAGTTTATTTTCAGTGTCCTGAAATAGTTTCAAAGAAGTTCCTCCTGGGCTCTGTTGTCTTTTACAATTAAAATACACTTATAGTGATATTTTATATGGATGTCAAAATACTACTTTGTTAAGATGTTGCTACTTTTATGACAAATTATTTTACATTCAGCGCTACTTTCTTCAGATGAATGGCATCTAAAATACTCTAAAACCATTATTTAAACGCGATATAACTCACGTTAGAAAAATATTTGTGTCTGAGGTATAATGTACCTTTAATAAAAGTAATATGCTATGGTCAATCTCCAAATATTCAATTAAGTGCTGGTGAAAACTTGATTCAGTAAGACAGTCATATCACAATATAGTTGTTGTTATTAGTCAGTTTAATGTCCCACCACCACTGTAATGGTTATATGGCGACTTTCCAGCTTTATTGGTGGAGGAAAACTAGGGGTGTCCCTCAGGTGAATTTAATAAATTTTTGAAGGTTTAAACAACCAGGGCAAAGCAGGGACTTGAATATTTGGATTATCAAATCTTCAGTAAAGATGTCACCCGACTGCAGGATCTAGCTACATATGACATTAAGACTTAAATTGATTCTAGTTATAAACAAAGTAGATGAACTTCTGAGACACCCCTTGTACATTAACAGGCCGATTAACTTTATAAAGTAAATTGAATCAATACCTCATGACTCACTTAAAGGAACTCCACTGAAGTCCAAAGATGTAATATAATAAAATTTGAAAATCATACAAATATCAATGGAAGCACTTAAAATGGAAAAATCTGCAAAGAATAAAAAAACAACTTTAGATTAAACTGAAAATTGATTTTCAGCTGATTCTTAGTCAGATATGAGTGAAAAGCAATGTAACAATTTTCAGTTTTGGCCTTTTTTTTCACAAACAAGAATTATTCTGGAAAAACTGGGAGAAGGAATAAGCTAAAAATTTCAACACAAGTTGATGGATAAAAACTACATTAATTGGTAAACACATCTCTGAAAAAATATTTTCAGTCCAATCATGTTCAAAAATCCTCAACGGAGTCCCTTTAACAATATACAACAGTTTAATACTAAGCCATTAAATTGCATGCATATTTTATTTTTTCATTGAATAGAAAAATAAAACAAGTATCTAATAAAAATTGATTTTTTCCATGAATTACCATTTCAATTTCTTTTGAAATAATACAAAATTCATTATTGAATACATCATTTCTTACCATAAAAGTGAAATATTATACTCTCTTAATTAACATTTCACAAAGCCAAGTTCTGGTATCTAAAAATCACACTGGTATCTAAAAATCACAAATTACAATTTATCTCTTTAATTCTCTTCAGTGGAATCATAAACAGTGAATTTCCTGTGTATTATTAAAACAATATTTCATTAATATTTCATATTTGAATTGCTCATGAAACCAGTGGGGGATTATAGAGATTATTGAAAAAAAAAACTTCAACAATACAAAATTACGAAAAAGCAAAGGTAAATCAAAGGTAAACTGTATAGAAAACTAAAATTTATAGCTTTTGATCAATCTGGTAAACACCGATTATTATTCTAACCTCAGGGTTAAGTTTTGTAAAATTTCAAACTTTCCTACTTTTTGGCTAAGTTTATATTTTATATATGAATGACCTTATAATAAGGAATGAATTCATAGTTACAATTTTCCTAATCTCTGGGTTATTTTTGAAAATTTAAAAGTTTCTTTTTTTTGGTGTGTGTGTGTGGGGGGGGGGGGGGTGTCTTGGTATCTTTTTGACATATGAATGACCTTGTATCATGACTACAGAATATCAATTTTTCACTTTTATGACCAAACTGAATAATAATATCTGTCATATTTTGCGGTTCGGATCGGAATATCCGTCCCGAGGTGATCCGCCCATGGGCGGGTGACCGAGGGACGGATATTCCTATCCGAACCGCAAACATATGTCAGATATTTTTTCTTGCATATTCTACCATATTCCATTATATTTTTAATTCTTTATCTTTATTTTCTATTAAAATTTATATCATTACTACCGTAACTACTTTCATTCAACAGCGTATGAATTACAAAATCATTCATAACGGTAAAATGACGTCATCTTTATCGTGCAATTGTACAGCACGCGACTCATCTGGAACCCCCCATGCCAGATGAAATTTCCGGCATGGGTAAAACTAACGGAAACGCCAGTCTGATATGCAAGAAAATTCTATCCAAACCACTCTCAAGTTAAGTTTTGTGGGTGTAACCACGAGTTCTGATGTCATCTGACCATACATCAACATGATACTACCAAGGCACACACCCACATCCTGTGTCATCAGCCGGACACAACAACACCTTTGCCAACACACCCCGTACTGGCTTCGTCTGTAATAATAATCTACCAGTCCCTGCTTTTTGTTTTTTCAAACTGTCAATGATACAAGAGCACTGCATGCCATGTGAACGGTTGTCTATGAAGGGCATGGACTATCAACAAAAACCAAAAAAAAAACACCATTTTTAAGGGGTGCCTATATTGAAACATAATTTCAGCAACAGAATTTAATTCTAAATCGTTCATACTTTACAGTTGTAGGCTTCTAAATTCAACTTCTTTTAAAAGGACAGCCATCTTAAGAGAACTAAACAGCTTGTGACCAAATTACCATAAAAGAATGGAAATATTAAAATGTTTGGTGAGTTTTGAGGATCATTGGAATGCATTACTGCTGTAAAACGGCAGTCCTGGTACCAAAACATGTGTCAGGGATGCAGAAAACCTGTGTAACTGCGTAAGAGCAAACCCTGCACATCTTATCATTACAATACAAACAACAACCTACATGTCTGACCTTCAGAAATTGACCTTAAGAAATTGACCTTTAAAAATTTAAGCTAAAAGGTTCATATGATTTATTAGCAACCTCATTACACCTGCCAAAAATTGAGCATCACCTGTAAAAAAATCTCTTAAATAAAAATCAAAATATTTTCAAAACTACAAAAATCACTTATCATAAGACATTGAAATAATGGATAAAAAAAATCAAACTCTTATATTGCATTACTAAACTTGAAACTAAAATAAAAAATATCATTCATAGGAAAGAAATATTTACTGAAAACCTTCATAAAAACTTTAAAAGCTCATAAAAAATTTTTTTTTGGTTGTGTGTTCTGTGACATAATGTAAAACTATTTTTTTGTCCTCGATTTGTTATACAAATTTTATTTTAGTATGATTGCGCAAGAAGCTATTAGCTTATAAACACACTCTTGAATCTGTTTCTTGAACGATCTAGTACTAAACAATGTGTGTAAAGTTTCTAGCCCATGGAAACAAAGTGTGCCTCTGCCCTGTATTGTCCAGTAAAAACTTGCTGGTCAATTTTTTTTGCCCCAAATTTGACCTTTAGTAACACTGACACAGTTAAAGGTCACATAGTGACCTTCCAGCTTCACAGCTTAATTATATTTCCAGACCTGTCTTTTTGTTTATCATTCTTTCATTTCAAAACCAGCAAAATGTAGCAAAAGTTTTTATCATTTTAATCTCGAGTATTCAAACAATGAACAATATAAAAGAAATTAAATAACTGTAAACAGTGTTTCCCCATTAAAATTTAATGAATTAGGTCATATCTATATCATAATAACAAAAAAAACTATAAAGCTTTATTTTCACCTATATTCTACAAATTCATAGTTTCAATTCATTTAAATCCATGATCAGTCTGTTGTAAATATCAGATTTGTATTTGCACTTAATCAAACTCTCATTTATTTTAATATTAAACAGAATAATTCAAGTGTTTGGATATCAATTTCAAATAAGTACAGCAGATGTGTAATTAAAACCACTGGATTGGATCATAATTGATTACTTTTACATTTATAAGTCATGGACAATACATGATCACAAGTATCAGAAACTTTATTATCGTTAAAGTGGCCTTCAGCTTTTATTTTCTGTTGGAAAAACAATTTTGTGTTGTTTCAAACTAAGTATTTCAGTAATTCTATCTTGGAAAAGTGCATCTTATAACTATTAAGCCTTCTTCAAAACAGCGTCATAAGAGCTATATATAACGCATAAATGACCTTCGTTTCTAAAAATAGATTATTAGGAAACAAATTGTCTGCTTAACTATTTAAATAAAGAAAGTGGACCAGTTGATCAAAGGTATCGAAGGGGTTCTCTTCTTGTATTTTATAGTCTGTAAATTTTCCACCTTAATTCATATGATTTGACAATAATAGCAAACGATTTATCTAAAAATAACATATATGTATCTAACCTTTAGAAAAGCTGATGGCTACTTTAAATTAAGAAAAATATACAATGTTTTTTCAAAAAGTTTTGATTTATCTAAGACCATCGTCATAAATATCACCACATAAATACTTTTTATGAAAGAGACACATTTGCAGTTTTGAAACTGTTGTTTTAAAGGCTTTTGTTTTTAAGAGGTATTCAACAAGCATGGCCTATATCATTCAGATTATGAATTTTTTGCAGTGCTTTGTTCAGATATGAGATTAAAATTTTGCATTGATAGGGTTTTGTTCAGCAATGATGTCTTAAAAAAAAAACACACAAAAAAAACATTGTTCATACAAATATGTTCAAAAATGGTGTTGAGCATTAGAAATACTTGGAAATATCTGTACATTCTACAGTAAAAATGTCTATACAAGGATTGCTTGATAAAAACAAGAGCTGTCCATAAGACAGTGCACTCTACTATTCTCAGGGCTTGACAGTAAGAAAAGTGGGTATAACTCTTTAAAAGCTACCTCAGAGTTATGGGACCTGTACCTATCATGTAATATTATCATGTAATATAATCTCACAGTACAAGTGTGTGAAGTTTCAACCCATTCACTTCAGTAGTATTAGATACACAAACTTCCACAAAAAAACTTAAACAAAGTGTGATGACGACACCAAAACTGACTCCTGGGCGAGTACAATTGCTCTCCCCATTCTTCTAACAGTTGAGCTAATGATCTAGCAAATCAAATTCAGAATATTTCTCTGATATAATAATACATCTGACATAATTATCATTTAAAAATGCCTCCAATAAATCACAATGTCAGTAATCACAAGGCCTCTTTCAAAGAATTTTGACTCCTTTAGGTTAATCCATATCCTCTTTTATCCAATTTCCACATCTTTAGGTTACTATATGTATTTAAGTATCACAGCTCCATAGCATTCCAGTCTATAGAACTGAAGAATGGATGAGTTTTAATTTCCTCTACACCATGAAGTCCTGACCCTAACCTTTCTCTCGGATTATACACTAATAACTGAAATGTGTGATATAAATATATATAAATTATGTGACATCATATTACTGATAATCTTTAAAAGTGAAAAAAATGTTTGAACACTCGGTCTAACATATCCTCACCTTAGTGCAATAACTGCTTAACTCCTATTAAATTTAGAAGGACTTAACCCATTACTGCACTAAAGTGACGATATATGATCGTGCACAAGTTGTCACTGAGTTAAAACTGAAAAACTATTTTAAATTGTTGGACATTGTATCAATCTAAACATGTTAAGAAAGTCTTCTGTGTGTTATTCAACTTTATCCACTTAAAAAATTAGCTTTATAACCAATGTTAACCAACACTCTTGGGACACAAAATTCATAAATTTCATGCATGGTGAATAAATAAATACACAGATGTGTCTTCAAGAAGTTGGTTTAAACATATTAATTTAAGCTCAATTGCGAAACAAGTTCTTTCAACTTATATTAATCACTTTCGAGTCTGCTTCCTGGAACCAACCAGTAATGGTGTCATATAAAGGAACATGATTGTGATCCCATTAGGGCTCAAACCCAGGATCTCTGGGTTGAGAGACAGACACCTAAACTTTAGGAAGTTTAACTTTATGTTAGAAACCAGAAAATACCGGAAAGGATGAAAAGTGACAAACCTGTTGTAGCAAGGATCTGGCCTCCTCCGACAGATGTTCGGGAATGTTAAGCTGAGAGTGCGACGTTATACCGCCAGGATGACAACAAAGTAATGTCTGTAAAATATAACGTTAACATGTTATAACTGAATGTAATCATAACTGAGATTTTTCTTGTTTGATTAAAACTTTCTTAGAAGCTGTTCTGAACAGTTCATTACAAATGTTGTGACTTGTGTAGTTAATGAAATTGAGACAAACAATAAACCATACCTGTCGGTGAACAGCCTTGATGCTTGTTAGTCAAAAGCAAGACAGAAAAAGGGGCATAAGTTTGTAAAAAATAATTTATGGATTATCTGCACCTTTGAATTGGAGTCTTGAAAATGAAGTGAATAGCTTAAAGAGTTTCCGAGAAAGTTGACCTTAACATACAGGTTAACCAACACCAACAAGAGGGTCATGACAGTGGCTCCAATTTTTTTCTTTTTTCGTTAAGTGAAGCTATAAAGATAAATTATTTTCATGATAATTGAGCCGCGTCACGACAAAACCAGCATAATGGGTTTGCAACCAGCAAGGATCCAGACCAGCCTGCGTATCTGCGCAGTCTGATCATGATCCATGCTGTTCGCTATCAGTTTCTCTACTTGTAATAGGGTTTGTAAGCGAACAGCATGGATCCTGACTAGACTGCGCGGATGCGCAGGCTGGTCTGGATCCATGCTGGTCACAAACCCATTATGTTGGTTTTGTCATGACGCGGCTCATATTTATTTCAGACAGATTAGAAGAAAGTTTGAAGTTTGTATGATCCACTCTTGAATCCATTTCATTGAATTAACATGTGCTGTTATATTTCTTCACATTCTTCAGAAAAAAAAACTGTTTGAATTATCTAGATATTACATTTTTATTTTACAAAATATTCCAATAAGTGTGACAAAAAATCTGTTTCCTTTAAGAAAATGAACATTTCTCAAAGTATTTTTTCAAAGTAAATATTTTTGATACCTTGCCAACCAGAAGTTCATAAAGTAGGACACCTAGACTCCACCAATCACAACTCTCCGTGTATCCACCTATTGTGCTGACTTCTACAAAAAAAAATTATCGTCTAGTATGTCTACAACAACAACAGCAATCAAATAATCTTAAAAAAACAACAACAAAAAAACCCCCATAAATCTGTTGTTATTGCTCATTCATGATAACATAAACCAGTATTTATCAGAGAGAATTTCTATAGAAAAAAACCCCACAAATTTATGACTGTATTTATATGGCACTCATATACCATCCTTGCCATGTATCACAATATATTATACATTTATTGTAATAACAAAAAAAAACAAACCTCGCCACCTAGCGGATATGCATATTAAAATCAGAGAAGATTTAATATTACTTTATACCAGTATCTTCACCTGTTCTTTGTTACGAACCTCAAGAAATAGGAGAGAACAATTGAGGTTATGACATGGTGAAAATACAGTAAATATTGATTAATTCTGTTCATAAGAAGTAAAAACCCATACTTCATAAGTATCTTTAATTAAAGTTTAAAAAAAATAAAACTTAAAAAGACTTTTTTTGGTATATGTTTTTATTTTTCAGATTTTTACTGTGATAAAACAGTACAAACTTTTTAGTCACATGGTACACTTTAATTAATAGTAGGAATAACACCCATTGGCCTATGGGAAATTAACATTACAAAAATAATGAGAACTAATAATACAAAATGACAATTTGGTGCTGATTAGACTAGAAATGTGTCGTCACGCCATGGATGCCTCGCATGCAGCCAAAATTTCAAAAGGTATAATAATATTAAGTTCCAAATTTGTTTGCAGAAACTATCTTTTTAATTCTAAGTTCAAAGCCTTTTAACTACTGAATGTTACCACAAAACCATTTTTATACAAAGTTCCAGGCCATGAAAGTATTATGGATGAATTAAAGTTTCTACCACTAAATAAAATTGAAACAATAGAACAACAAATCAAAGTACTGTACATCAAAACAGAGTACTGTACATCAAAACAGAGTAATTTACATCAAAACTGAGTAATGTACATCAAAACAGAGTAATGTACATCAAAACTGAGTAATGTACATCAAAACAAAGTACTGTACATCAAAACAGAGTACTGTATATCAAAACAGAGTACTGTACATCAAAACAGAGTAATTTACATCAAAACAGAGTAATTTACATCAAAACTGAGTAATTTACATCAAAACAAAGTATGGTACATCAAAACAGAGTAATGTACATAAAAACAGAGTAATGTACATCAAAACAGAGTAATGTTCATCAAAACAGAGCTTGAATTTTCTGTAAATGCACAAGCAAGCCAAAATTTTTGTATTCTAAGACTTTCAAAAAAAAAAAAAAAAAAGCAGGAAGTAGCCTCACTTTCAGTCTAATATGTTTTTGTTTTGTTTAATCCTCTCCTTTAATAACAGCTTTTTTGGTGGGGATATTGATGCAATAATTTTCCACCTAATGATTTATATTGCTGATGTCAGCTTTATTAAACGTGGGTCTCAGCTGTTCTCAGTATAGAACAGTTAAGTATCAATAACAAATAAATGCAGAAACTGTCTCCAATCTTCAATAATAACGCTACAGACAAATCAGTAAAAGGATGTTCGTGACATGGCATATTTTTTCCTTACGTGTTTTTCAACTGTATTAATAGCAACATATATTTAGATTAAAATGATAAATCAAATGATTATTTTAAATAAAGAAGAAAAAAAGCACACTAAAGATGTATGCATTAGGCACTTTTCAACCACATTATTTTCTGCCACAGTGGCATATTTACAAACTTAATATTAATGCATATTCTGTATAAAATCAAGTTATATTAAAAAAAAATAGATAATAAAAAAATTATGCAATAACATTATAACAAATAAATTTCACAAACACGCATTTGATTTTTTACACCAATTTTAACACAATTTTTTGGTCATATCTCTGCACCTAACCAGATTTCCTGGACAACTAACCACCTAACCAAAGTTCCTGGACAACTAATCAGTAATTACCAATTTCTCCACAAGTGACCGACTACTAACACAATAAGAAATCAGTGGTGACAGACAAATGACTCCATGTCACGGAGAAATTTTACTTGAGGATCAAACCAGGGCATCCCTAGAGCACAAATTATGCTCTCCCTATTGAGCTAAGCAGGCACCAACAAACCTATGACTGTGCGAACTTTTGTTCTTGATTATTAGTTAGACAAGCATTTCATACTTCAATGTTTCTCTGACCTCATGACAGTCTCTACACGCCATAGGAACTGACCCTAAAAAGATTTGCTGATCTTAGTCTGCACTGGTTGCATGCGTAGATTCTTAACGGGCCAGCAGGCTTTTTTTTATAAAAAAGATGTAGGAAAATAATATAACATCAACTAACCTGGTGCAACATACATTTGCTGTACAGCTTCAAAGTCCATACTATCAGTGACCTGATTGATCTGGAAAAAGTAGGTCAAGGTCGCATGACCTTGGTCACCCAGGAGAATGTTGTCAGGTTTAAGTTCTCTGAAAGAAAAAAGTGATTATCATTACCCATATATTCATATTCAAATATGCCAGTTTGCAAATAAGTTACATTATTATATCACTAGTTATATGACCAAGAATATAAATATGGTTGTTAGTCTCTATAACAAAAGCTAATAGCAGTAGACAAGGGTAATAAATATAGCAAACTTCCAATTGTCAAAAGTCTCAATAAGGTCATTAAATACTGAGCCAATGCCTCCTTCATATTAAACAAATTCATAATTTTGTAGCAGCCATCCCATGCTTGGTGACCATGGCTAATCATTAGATGACGTAAAGGGAATGTTTATTGTATCGACTATGCAGCCATGTTACCTATGTATACAATGTAGATAACATAAAATATAAGTTTTAAACTGAATTAAACAGTATAACAATGATCAACACACAAAAATTCACAAAAAATGGTGGCTGTGAAAGAACTTGTTATAGTACTACAAGTGACTACAGAGATCAAAAGATATGTTTAATCCTTAAATACTTGCTTTTTTAAAGTCATCAATAATGTGCTTATAAAGTAAGTAGCTTTCATTCGGGAAATAAAAGGAAAACAAATTCTTTATGAAAATTTAACACACCCTCATGGCTAAATTAAGGTAAATATCTTTTTATCACATGATTATTTACTAACCTACAAATAATGCCTAAAGAATGTAATGTGGATAATGCTACAATAATTTCAGCAGCCCAACGTCTGATGAATGATTCCGGTATCTTGACCTGGTCCGGACTCTGTGCCGACAAATCCAGTTGCTCGAACATATGCGATATTGTCCTGTGGCGTGATTTGGAAGGAGACTTAGATTCATAGTCACTAGAAGCTGATCTACTTAATTCCATAGAATTTATTCTAGATAATGACATTTTATGTCCTACTCCTTTACCTATTTCTGTCCCTCCTCTTGACTTTGAGTCTGAACAATTCCTTGACCTTTGACCTGACTGTGAACTTTCTTTATCAAACTTGTTTTCTTCAGTTTTAGATGAGTTAAGAATATCACTGATTATTGAATCACCAATGTTATTTGAGTTTACATTGATTTCACTAGAAGTAGGTCGACTAAGGTCAAAATCACGCGACCTTGAATCAGACTGACTATCTGATGTGTCACCATGGTGACCAAGGTCGTATATACTAGGTTCTTCTGCTGGACTGTCTATAGTTATTGAGCTAGTGGTGGTTGTTAATGGTGAACTAATCTGGTCTGCTGTGTCTTTATCTACTTTTGCTGAAACTTCACTATCTATTTGAGACAAAGTTCTTTCCACTGTTCTTAATAACTGTTTTGAACTTTTAATAATATCATTAGACACATCACCTGAATGATCACTGTCTATATCTGATGATTTGTCATCATTTTCTTGATGATTTTGACTAGAACATGTTCCAACAGTTTGGCCAGAGATCGGAGGATTCTCTTCATTCATATTCTCATTGTTTATATCATTTAATCCTTTGTCACAACTGAAGACTTCAGTATCACAGTTTAGCTCATTTACTTCATGTATCACCTCTATTTGATCAGACACATTACTATCTACCCGGCTAAACCCTTCAGTACTATCAAAACTATTTATACTGAAGTCCTCTAATGCAGGCTTGCTCCTATTCTTTTGTAACAAATCCTGAAATTGTCCACCCTGTGAATTCTGTCTCTCAAAAGGGGTGTGGCTAAAATTTGGCCCCTCCCCTTCATCATCAGCATTCTCCTCGGATGAAAAACTTGTAAATCTATTATAATCTGTTCTTCTCTCTGAGACTTTGTTATCATTCCCTTCGTCATGGTTTTCATCCTCATCTTTTCCAATTGCTACCTTCACATCAATAATATCGTCTTTGTGCTCTTGTGTATCCAACTGAAAATCACCTACACTTAATTCCTGCACATTAGTTTTTTCAGGTTTACCTAGGAAAATATCATTTGTTCCTTTAGTGAAAGTAACTTTATCACCTAATTCACTTTGCTTTTTACCGTCGCCTTTCCCCGATTCCTTTGAACTTTCTGCTTCCTGGTCCTTTATAAATGATTTTCTTTGATTATCATCCGTATGAATCTTAAACCCTGTATAAACATTTTGAAAGTCCTGGTTAGGATACCCATCCTCCCCACCAGGGCCTCCTTCACGCGCCTGCTCCTGAGCATATCTCAGGTAGGCCCCGACATAGTTCCAGAGTTTCCCGCCACTCGCATACTGCAGCAGAAGGTATATTGTACTGGATGTCTCGTAAAATTTGTGTAACTGAACCATATAAGGACAGGATGATGGTAGGATATTTCTCAGTTTTCTGTTCCCTGTTGTCGACTTGTAAACTCTCTGAAAAAAAGACAGAAAGCTGCTTTCATTATTAAGTAAAGGGAGGCAACTTCTTTTTAAAACACCAATCTAATAAAAAAAACATTGGCAGCCATATTTAAAAACACAAGACATAAGAAAAGATGAATTAATTTCAAAGTTAAGAAAATATATGCAAGAAGAAATTTCCATGACTTTAAGATTAAGAGAAGAATTATTCATTAAGCACAAACTCTGTATGTTTTATTCGAGTTAAACAGATGGCTTCAAATTTTCATGTTTTTTTCCCCTTCTTTTGCAAAGTTTACTATAGCAGATAGAGTAGTCATAACAATCCAATGGAAATACTGTTTCAAAAAACTCCAAAGATCACAAAGTCAATGTCCTGAAACTTCAATTAATATTAATTGCAATTTAAAAAAAAATGTAAACAAGAGGGCCATGATGGCCCTGAGGTCGCTCACCTGTATCAAGGCCCCCGGATCGGGGCCAGTTTAAACCCCAGGGCTTTTATTTGAACAAACTTGAAAGACACTCATTAGAAGATGTTTCACAATGTTTAGTTTGTTAAGTTTTTACTACACACATAATGAAAAACAATGATCTCCCCCCCCCCCTCCAGCAGGGCCAATTTTCACCCGAGGGCTTTTATTTGAACAAACTTTGTAGACACCCATAAGAAGATGTTTCATGCTAAAACATCTAAGCTCTAGCTCACTGGGTTTTTTAAAAGAAGTTATTTTAAGTTTTTACTATACACATATAGTTAAAAACAATGATACCCCTGGGGCGGGGCCAGTTTTGACCCCAGGGCTTTTATTTGAACAAACTTTGTAGACACTTATTAGAAGATGTTTCATGCTGAATATCTTAACTCTAGCTATTTGGGTTTTTTCAAAGAAGATTTTTAAGTTTTTGCTATACACATATAAGGAAAATCAATGACCCCCAGGGGCGGGGCCAATTTTGACCCCAGGGCTTTTATTTGAACAAACTTTGTAGACACTCACTAGAACATGTTTCATGCTTAATATCTAAACTCTAGCTATTTGGTTTTTTTCAAAGAAGATTTTGTAAGTTTTTGCTATAAATATATAAGGAAAATCAATGACCCCCGGGGCGGAGCCAATTTTGACCCCAGGGCTTTTATTTGAACAAACTTGGTAGACACCCACTAGAACATGTTTCATGCTAAATATCTTAGCTCTAGCTCTTTGAGTTCTTTAAAAGAAGATTTTTCAAGTTTTTACTATATGCATATAGGGAAAATCAATGACCCCATGGGGCGGGGCCAATTTTGACCCCAGGGCTTTAATTTGAACAAACTTTGTAGACACTCACTAGAACATGTTTGGTGCTTAATATCTAAACTCTAGCTATTTGGTTTTTTTCAAAGAAGATTTTAAGTTTTTGCTATACATATATAAGGAAAATCAATGACCCCCGGGGCGGAGCCAATTTTGACCCCAGGGCTTTTATTTGAACAAACTTGGTAGACACCCACTAGAACATGTTTCATGCTATATATCTTAGCTCTAGCTCTTTGAGTTCTTTAAAAGAAGATTTTTTAAGTTTTTACTATATGCATATAGGGAAAATCAATGACCCCATGGGGCGGGGCCAATTTTGACCCCAGGGCTTTTATTTGAACAAACTTGGTAGACACTCACTAGAACATGTTTCATGCTGAATATCTAGGCTCTAGCTCTTTGGGTTCTTTAAAAGAAGATTTTTTAAGTTTTTACTATATGCATATAGGGAAAATCAATTACCCCCTGGGGCGGGGCCAATTTTGACCCCAGGGATTTTATTTGAACAAACTTGATAGATACTCACTAGAAGATGTTTCATGCTAAATATCTAAGCTCTAGCTCTTAGGTTTTTTAAAAGAAGATATTTAAAGTTTTTTCTTTCGGTTGCCATGGCAACCGAAAGTTCTGCATGGAATTAAATTCTTTGAACAATTTTTAAAGGTGACCACCAAAGGAACATTCCTGTGAAGTTTGGATGAAATTGGCTTAGTGGTTTATGAGGAGATGTCATTTAAAGTAAAAGTTTACAGACGGACGACGGACGACAGACGGACGGACGATGGACGGCCGGACGCCGGACGAAAAGCGATCACAAAAGCTCACCCTGTCACTTTGTGACAGGTGAGCTAAAAAACCATAAAATTTGAAAAAATAAATAAAATAAATTCTTGTATAGATCAGTGGTTATGCACATAAATTGAGAAAAAAACTGCAACGGATTATATAGAAATACACTAGGAATTAAACTTATTTTTTTTCCCCCATTTCCTGAAAAAGTAATAAAAACATTTACATGTCCTGATAAATTTACCTTTATAATGTAAGTCTCCTCTGTGTCCCTGTCCAACACTAATATAACTTTATCTATAGTACCTAACACCTTGAACTTCTTCAAATCACTTGCCGGACTCCTCAAAAAGGTCAATGCGGGGTCAACTTCTGTAGATGGACTTAAAGTACTATCCATCTGTAAATAAGGGGAGACAAATTATGAGAATATAATATTGTAGTATTTGTACAGTTATGATTTTTTAAAAACGAAACCTAAAAACACAATATGAAATGTAATATTGGTCAGTTTTGTTATTTGTGGCAGGCACAGTGTATAAGTTATCAGTATTTAAACTGAGATATGGAATCGGTAAATCGGTCAAGATTATATTTAGTAATGTCCATTTATCTTCTGATGTAAATTTTGAAAGGTTGTTACGTTTTTTTTTTTATGAAAACTCAATATATTATGTTTTATGACACCTAAATATATTATGTTTTATGACATCTAAATGTATAATGTTTTATGACATCTCAATATATTATAAAACATCTTACTCATTATGTATTATGACATCTGAATATATTACATTTTATGACATCTAAATACATTATGTTTTCTGACATATAAATACATTATGTTTTATGACATCTAAATACATAAGGTTTTGTGACATATAAATTAAGAAAGCACATACTGCCCATCTTTGTTCATCGGAGGCCTCTTTCGCCAGGTGTCTGTTGTAAAGGTCCTCAGCTTTCATCAGATATTGTGCCGTCTTTCTCCGTACAGCATCTCTACGTCCCTTGTTTGTATCACCTAGATCAGTACATGACAATGATAAGCCAAAAGTGCATAAATAACAATAAATATCAATTTCACAATGTAAAAGAAATGATGTTTACCAACATTTACGTTATCTGGTTAGAACACTTTTACCTTGTTATAATAATGTTGCAAAGGTAAATTCTACAGCTATAAGCCAGGTCAGATTTTCCTGAGAAACATCCAATTAAATACATGTAGTAGTATCATAGGCAATCTAAATGTGTACCAATTTACAATGTACCTTGAACACCTTGTAGAAGTATACCAACGCAACTCTTGTAGGTGGCGAAAGCTTGCTCGTAGTCGCAGTTAGCCTCGTACTCCTTCGCCTTACAGATCTGACTAGCTGCTAGATATATATAATCCTCTTTACTACCCAGATCCATCGTTGATACACTCTCCTTCGTAACGGATCTCTGCCGCAATGGTGACAGACTTTTTATAGTTGAACGATTCTAAAATTTAAAGCTACTAGTTTACATCAAAATTGCTAACTTGGTTTTCATACTTCTGAACAATTAAACCTGTTTAAAGGGCATCATATTTAAAACATCACAAAAATACTCCTATTTTTGCATAACATTTTTTTTTTGCTCTACAATTTATTTGAATTTTTTTGCCAATATTAAAAATTATAATTTTTTTCTGGTATAACATGTTACATACTAACTAGTTACTATTTTCCCATTATTACTTTTTACCCTTTTTTTGCTCCTTGTCAGTAATTAAGTAATTTTATCATTAAGAGCAAATGTTTTAGGAGGCATGCTTTCCCTAAGACTTTCTTTTCAAAGTAAGAAAATAATCAATAACCCATGTGACTCAAAGAAAGTTCTAGAATGTATCTGTAATGCCTAATTGACAAAAAGAATGGGGCACCCTTTTTATTTTTAAGGCAGTTTTTATGATTTATCCATGAAACCATTTTTTTTTCATTTGGTCAATGACCATTATATTAAATATTTTGAAATAAAGAATTAAGGTTTACTTGAAGAAAAAAAAAATGAGCATAATGTCACTAAATAAAATTAGCAAGAATCATTTTTACATGTCTTGACAATTATCATGAAAAACAAACTGTGAGATACTTTCTACTAGTGAACTACAGTGACTCATGCTTGATTATTATATTTCACATGTAAAATTGTAAAATATTTAAGTGAAAATCATGCATGCAATTTTTCAGCTTGTTCTCCCACTCACCTTAAATCTTGGTGACGACAAATTACTTGACGAAGAATCCAGACTTGTTGAACTACCCGAATTAATGCCAGAGGTGAACTGAGAAATGTCAAGGTCACCTTTTCCCACCATGACCTTTGAACTGCCACTATCAGTACTCTGGGTCAAGGGGTCAAACTCACTGATATCTAAATTGTTTGTGGAATTGGTTACAGAACTGGACTGTGCCATTGTGTCCGAGACAGAATCTGTAAGGTTGCCATCACCTCCAGCCATCTGAATAATAACACAGAATATTCCTGTCTTATAAAGGCACTTAAAGGAACAAAAATAACCGGCCAAACAAGCAAAAACCTTTTTGTTTTATTCACTTAATATCACAAATAAAACACATTAATATCTCATCACAGTTTTGTTTTTTTCAGCTTCAATTTCAAATTAAATCCATAATTCAGCTCCAAGCAGCTAGACTGTATAAAACACATAGTAATATGATAACCTTTAAATTGCCTTTCAAAGGAAATAAAAAAAGAGTCTAGACTACAAAACACTTTACATTGAACTGTAAAACTAGCATTCATTCAATATGATTACATGTTATATCTAGGAATTTTGTTAGCATCTAAACTTCATTGCTATTAACACATACAGTTTAATAACACTGTACGTCACAAGTTTTCTTTTTATTTGAGCATCATTTAACAGTTTATTAGAAGTTTCGTGAAGCACGTTTGCTTAGATTTTTATTGCTTGAAGTACACATAATTAAATAGCATGGAGAAAATGATACATACAGTGTAAATGCATACAAAAAATACTGAAATTTTACACAAACAATCATTAAGTAAGTATTTCAAATACATTTTAAGAATCCTGCACTGGCTGCCGGTACAGACCAGAATAGCTAGCTCGAGGGTGACTGTTTACGGCGGTAACGAGGCTCTGCCGAGTTTCCGCCAAACAGTTACCCGAGAGCTAGATATTCCCGTCTGTACTGACAGCCAGTGTTTGATTCTTTTTCTTGCATATTACATATAAATTACTTTTAGAACAGAAATTACGAAAACTGATATTCTCATTACATACTTTTTTCTTATAGTAGCGTATGAACTTACAACTTCATTCATAACTGTAAAATGACGTCATCAGAGTTTTCTAGCACCAGTGTAAACGGTAGATAACCCTGTCTGATATGCAAGAATATATGAATCTTACACCGGCTGCCGGTACAGACCGGAATATCTAGCTCGAGGGTGACTGTTTACGGCGGTAACGAGGCTCTGCCGAGTTACCGCTAAACAGTTACCCGAGAGCTAGATATTCCCGTCTGCACCGACAGCCGGTGTTTGATTCTTTTTCTTGCATATTACATATCAATTATTTTCAGAACAGAAATTACGAAGACTGATATTTTCATTACGCACTTTTTTCTTATAGTAGCGTATGAACTTACAACTTCATTCATAATGGTTAAGTGACGTCATCCTAAGAACGCAATTCATTCATAAAAGGCGCGCAGCAATGACGTCATTTAAAGCACGCGACTTGTCTTACATGGGGGGTGTAAGACAGGGTTTTCTAGCACCGCCACAACCGTAGATAATGTTGTCTGATATGCAAGAAATATGCTGGATATAAGCCTATACAAAACAAAGCAAGTAGACAAAAATCTAGAACAGTAGAGTTTTCTTAAGAGCAACGAATCCTATTTTAAAATACTTGAAGTAAACAAGAAAAGAAAGTAGAACAACACATCAAAACAAGAGGGCCATAATGGCCCTGAGGTCGCTCACCTGTATATAGGCCCCTGGAGCGGGGCCAGTTTAAACCCCAGGGCTTTTATTTGAACAAACTTGGAAGACACCCATTAGAAGATGTTTCATGATGTTAAGTTTTTACTACACACATATAATGAAAAACAATGACCTTCCCACCCCCCACCAGGGCCAATTTTAATCCAAAGGCTTTTATTTGAACAAACTTGGTAGACACCCATAAGATGTTTCATGCTGAACATCTAAGCTCTAGCTCATTGGGTTTTTTAAAAGAACATTTTTTTAAGTTTTTACTATACACATATAGTTAAATACAATGACACCCTGGGGCGGGACCAATTTTGACCCCAGGGCTTTTATTTGAACAAACTTGGTAGACATCCATTAGAAGATGTTTCATGCTTAATATCTTAGCTCTAGCTCTTTGGGTTCTTTAAAAGAAGATTTTTTTAAGTTTTTACTATATGCATATAGGGAAAATCAATGACCCCCTGGGGCGGGGCTAATTTTGACCCCAGGGCTTTTATTTGAACAAACTTGGTAGACACCCATTAGAAGATGTTTCATGCTAAATATCTTAGCTCTAGCTCTTTGGGTTCTTTAAAAGAAATTTTTTTAAGTTTTTACTATATGCATATAGGGAAAATCAATGACCCCCTGGGGCGGGGCTAATTTTGACCCCAGGGCTTTTATTTGAACAAACTTAGTAGACACCCATTAGAAGATGTTTCATGCTAAATATCTTAGCTCTAGCTGTTTGGGTTCTTTAAAAGATAATTTTTTAAAGTTTTTACTATATGCATATAGGGAAAATCAATGACCCCTTGGGGCGGGTCAATTTTGACCCCAGGCGTTTTTATTTGAACAAACTTGGTAGACACTGATTAGAAGATGTTTCATGCTAAATATCTTAGCTCTACTTTTTTGGGTTCTTTAAAAATAATTTTTTTTAAGTTTTTACTATATGCATAAAGGGAAAATCAATGACCCCCCAGGGGCGGGGCCAATTTTGACCCCAGGGCTTTAATTTGAACAATCTTGGTAGACATCCATTAGAAGATGTTTCATGCCAAATATCTAAGCTCTAGCTCTTTGGGTTTTTTAGAAGAAGATTTTTTAAGTTTTTACTATATGCATATAGGGAAAATCAAAGACCCCCTGGGGCGGGGCCAATTTTGACCCCAGGGCTTTTATTTGAACAATCTTGGTAGACATCCATTAGAAGATGTTTCATGCTTAATATCTTAGCTCTAGCTCTTTGGGTACTTTAAAAGAAGATTTTTTTAAGTTTTTACTATATGCATATAGGGAAAATCAATTACCCCCTGGGGCGGGGCCAATTTTGACCCCAGGGATTTTATTTGAACAATCTTGGTAGACACTCACTAGAAGATGTTTCATGCCAAATATCTAAGCTCTAGCTCTTTGGGTTTTCTAGAAGAAGATGTTTAAAGTTTTTTCTTTTGGTTGCCATGGCAACCAGAGTTCTGCATGGAATGGAATTCTTTGAACAACTTTGTTAAGGCTTCACACAAGGAACATCCCTGTGAAGTTTCATTATGATCTGGCTTATGGTTTCAGAGGAGATGTCGTTTGAAAAGTGTGAACGGACAACGTACGACGGACGACGGACGAAGAGTGATCCTAATAGCTCACCCTGAGCATATGCTCAGGTGAGCTAAAAACCAGAGTATGTTTCAGACACTTTATTTATTGACTGATTTCGGTCAAACAATGATCTTCATCTTGTTAATACAATGTCAATATGAAAATTCAGTAATAGGCTACACAAAAGCGGTAATTTAATATCATGCGACTTAGTCAAACATTACTATTTTTAGAATAAACTTGGAAGTTTGCCAAGGAGTACTGGAACTTTGCCAAAATATATAAATTACATAGCGATGGAGGAAGACCTCAGGTGCCCTTCTGAGCCTAATTTCAGACACAAACGGGCACCTGAGTAGAACCCACTGACGTTCTGTAAGCTAGCTGGATAGCTGCCTCACATGAAAGAATCTAAAGTCCCTTGTGGGAATCATAACAAAGATATTTTTACCTGTAATCCTGTATCATCACCAACATCCTCTATTTCTTTAGACACAGGTAGTGTAGGACCATCTGTTTCTAACTCTGTAAATTATTAAATCAATGCTAAATATCATTTTTTCTCAGCAAATTTAAGTTCCATTACCTCTTCCATTTTCAACTTCTGTCAGATTTATTTTATAGATTAAGATATTTCTTAACTATGACATGCTTGTAAAACATCTTATATGTAATATCAACATCAAAGATTATTGGTTTCCTAGCAGTTTCCGTCCCCTAGCAGTTTTCTGGCCGTTTATCATTTTCGTCCAGTAGAGTCTATTTTTACCAGTAAGGCATCCACATTACTTCATCAATCAGAGAGACATTTGTTTTCTATGCTCAACAGCATTTAAAATAGTACACCGATTTATATGTTTTGAAGTTTTGTCTGTTATTTAAAGTTACATAAGAAAACTTGCGACTTTCAAAAATAAGCAACACCTGGGGAATTCTAGTTTAAACATCCATGCGCAATAACTAAGACCCCATTTTAGGTAAATCAATATTTTGGAAACTATTTTTGCAGACGACACGGAAAAGGTTGGGAAGTTCTGTTTGTCTGATAAGACCATCTTAACATTGCTTTATGGTACTGAATTATATTCAAAATAAAAAAGGTCCGGAAAACTGCTATGAATTTTTTAATAAAAGTGAAAAAAGGTGTTACATTTCAGGCCTATATTCAAATTAAAAAGTAAAATGAAAGTGCAACATTAAACACATGGCAATGCTGGACAGGTACCTAACTTTGTCCTGTTAAAGTTTTGTACCCCTCCGTAGACTGATTTTTATTTTATTTGTAAAAAAAGTGTGATTTGTGACCGGAAACTGCTAGGAAACCAGTACTGTCCAAAATTAAAATCTATGCTTAGTCAAAAAGCAGAAGGTAGCTTTCATTCTTTTTAACTCCAGTATAACAATAAAAATACAATAACATTTTTGTAAGTTAATTTGAGATCCCATTTTTGTAACTCTAAGGTTAAAAATAAGTTGTTTTAAAATGAAAAAAAAAATAATTAACAGGAACTTAAAAATTGGATTGAAGCCTTGTTGTACCTATTTACTTAAAACAACAAATTTAACTAAAGGAAAAAAAGAATTGTTTTGTCAAATAATTATTTTTCAACTGGAGCAAAAATTACTTTACCATTACAGGTATTCACTGCCTCCATAATCCAACTTTTACTAGTCCGTAATGTCCCCTGTCCACTTTTATCTTTCTCTGTCAGTGGGTCAAAGAATGCTAAATCTGATTCAGGGAGGGGTGTTCCTAGCGTGGAATCAACATCAGTATCTTCATCGTAAGAGTTAAGGCTGATATTGTCTGGTACTTGAGGGAAATTCCACACACCTTCAAGTACAGGTTCTGTCTTACCACTGTGTAATATAGAGAAGTAAAAGAAATTGTCACAAAAACTAGGATTTCTGCTTATATAATAATATAATAATTATGAAAAAAGCTACAAGTCTGCTAAAAAAAAGGATCAAATTATTGGTTGAAGTCTGCAGCAATTGGGTATACCAACACATCAAATATCTAAATTATTTGCCAGTTAATAAAATAATAAAATACTTAATGAGAAACAGTTATCAAGAGTGACAGATAGGGACAGATGGACAAAATGACAACGTAAATCCTCCTTTTATATCATACACAAGTAGGCACTTTTTATGGGCGAGTTAGTTACCTTTACCACATAAGTGGAATCTGTGCCCAGTATGTTAGATACTAGAACAAGACTAAGCTTGTAAAGTTGCTATCTATTCCCTTCAACAGTTTTGGAGATATCAACTTACCAGAAAGTGTGATGTCTACACACGGATGAGCACAATAGCTCTCCTTTTTCCTTGAATAGTTAAGCTAAAAACAGCCCAATATATAATAAGTCTGCCTCACCTTTTATTATCAATGAACATAACCAAAATAGTATGCAGAATATTTATAGAAATGTCTGCGGAAAACCAAATTATTGTTATTATGAAGCAATATAATAAAACTGAAAACATAAACGACAAAATGTCAAGTTATTTTGATTTTTGCCAGCACACTTAACCATTTTCTTGAATGGGCATAATTTCTCTTACCACCACTGTGACCCAGTCAATGTCTGAATTTTATAGCTTACTATTTCAATCAATATCATGTCTATTTGATATCCAGAAGATCTAATGTTAATCTTATATATTCATAAAATTAATCTTACTTTTTCTGGTTATTATCATTATTATCTGATGACGGAACCGGCACACTGGAACTGGTTTCGGCAGGGTCTTTGGCTTTTACAATGACATCAGACTTGACAGGTTCTGGCTTTATCACAGGGTCTGGACCCGCACCCAGTATGTCCAGCCTAGATGGCTTCAACACTTTACCTGATGTACCCTCAACTACCCTGCCACCCTGTAATGTAAAGTACCTTCTCAGAATCAAAACATAATAACAGGTCATTAAAATATGACTTAAAAAAAATAATCTGATGCCACTATGATAGTTTTACGTAACATAAACCTGAAATGACCATGAAAGGCACATGGTTCAAGCAATGACCTTCCAAGCAAGCTGGAAGTGGGCTTTCTTTGATGGAAAAATTCATAGATGCAGTAAAACATGTGCTAACCTTGGAAATGAATATCATTCTTTGAAGAAACGGCATATCTCAGCATAGAAGCCTTCTGTATATAAAGACCCTATTTAGTCTGTCCAAAGGCTTGACTTTGTTCACAGGTTCAACTGTATCAGTATTCTATTTCACAACAGTAAACAGAAATAGATAAAAAAGAGCTACCGTAACTTTCTCAACTTGGTCACCTTATAATATATGACACTCACAAAATGTGACAAGTTTCTTGCAATAAAATAATTGAAATAATGTTAGCAAAACATTTTTTTTGCAAGTAACATGAAGAAAACTATATTTTCCAGAATTTCTTCTCCTACTTTTCTCTATATACAACAAAATCTGCACCTGCTCTTATTCTGTAACCATGGCAAAATGGCTATCAATAGAAAAGTAGGGGCAAAAAAAAAAAACCTTTAATTTTCATATTTTCATTGCACTTGAAGGATCATCTTTTCCCAGATTTTGAGCTCAGACTAAAAAAAATTTAAAAAAATAAACGAGAACTTCAAACCTCTAAGAACTTGATGAATATCTGAGATCTATATAAATAGGTCTGTCTACCAATGAAATTCAGTAATTCCAGAGCACTTGAACATCTCTCTTCAATCACCTGTTCATCAAAACGTCCTGACAAACAAAATTAACCATGTCAATAAAATATATATTGTATCCATATTGTCTCATTTTCTTTTAAAGTCATTCTTATAATTTATTCTATACCTGTTAAGGTTATTTCATCTGACCAATCACCAAGCTTCTAAACAGTCATGTGATCAGACATTTAAGCTGTGAATCGATCTTCAGACACTATTCAACTAACTATACAATTTATAAAACACAATTAATTCTTTTTTTGTAAATATTAATTATAGAAACAATAAAAAAAACTTATTTCAGATACTATGTAGTTTTGGAAGATATATGGTTTAAAGAAAATGTGAAAAACATTGGACACATTGCCATCATGAAAGATCACCTCTGAGAACTGTGCATAGGACTAGTGAGCAAAAAATGAACTTTAACCTGTAAAATAAACTTGTAACAATTTATTGCGTACAAATTATTTGTTTTTTTTTAAAATACTTGTCAAATAATTCTATAATGAAATGAGATGAAAAATTTATAGACATTAAAGTGAACACTTACCAAAAAGCTTAGGTTTTGCAAATGTAGGAAATTCTTCTCTCCTGTGAAGTGATTTATGTAGATTGAACATTGCCTTGTAAAGATGTTTAAAGTCATTGTACCTTTTCCATACCACAATCTGTACAATAAAAAAACATATAATGATTGTTGAGGCCAGAGATGACATATTTTGATGTAGAACTGATGTATTTGCATTTAAATCTAACTTGTGTCTATAGATAAATTATGCTCAAATTTGATATTTTCAAATATCAATAATTTCAACACAGTTGCTATGTTATTGTTACTTTTTGTAAAAGAAACATGTATGTTTTAAGTACATACCCAGTAAATATGTTGCTTTAAATCTGTACACACTATAGGTAAATGCAGTATGAATACACAGTGTCTTTAAAAATTAAATAACTTAAATATCTTAGCTTGAATTGCAGCTTCCCATACATAATACATGTATGTGCATTATCTTATTCAAATTAGACATATTCCGTAAGAATTTCTTAGATTTCAATAAGTTTGGCAAAAAAAATTTTTTCTTAAAGATGAGCATATTATAGTTATCATTAAACTGAAATCAGCATTTCCATTTACCATGACAAAAGTTTACCTGTTAACTATTAAATTAGACATATGAGCCGTGTCATGACAAAACCAACATAATGGGTTTGCGACCAGCATGGATCCAGACCAGCCTGCGCATCCGCGCAGTCTGATCAGGATCCATGCTGTTCGCTTATCAACTCTATTACAAGTAGAGAAACTGATAGCGAACGCATGGATCCTGATCAGACTGCGCGGATGCGCAGGCTGGTCTGGATCCATGCTGGTCGCAAACCCATTATGTTGGTTTTGTCGTGACACGGCTCATATGTATGTTTGGATTAAAGGAACTCCACTGAGGTCAAAACTCATAAAAACTGTAAAATTTGATATGAAAAAGATAATTAAGAAACATACTCAGAATTATGGGAAATTGTTATTTGTGCTTATCGAAGCATGATTTGAGTGTGTAGCGTTGGAAATCTTTTTCAATTTCACAATTAGAATTGTTATTCTGGAAAAATGAAGAAAAAAACTTTATGTTTTAATATTTTACACACAAGTTATTGGTCTAGATCTACATCAAATGGAGCATTAATCTTGAAAAATTATTTCCAGTGCCATCATGTCAAAAAACCTTAGTGGAGTCCCTTTAACTGCAGACCTGCCCATCAACAACCTATAACACTCTTTCTAAACACTGCAAGTTTGACCATGTAAAATGATATGGAATCCTTTCAAATATCATCCTCTTTACAATCAAAACAAAAATTTAATGTTTAGGGGAAAAAAAAAACACAAAAAGAAAACACAACTAAACCAACCTCTGTAAGACTTTCAGGTGCATTGACTGGAAAAACCTGTAAAAGAAACAAAACTATTAATAATTATGATTTAACAATAAACAGACACCAACATTTATATTACATGTTTTTATTGTATATTCTAGTGATGCAGATGCTTCAACAATATTCAGTTGCAACTCAATGAAATATTATAATTAATTTAGCATTTACTGATCTAAAAAAGCAGAATATTATGTTTCCGATTTCACAAAATTTTTAATTTCAGGTATTTTATAACAATATGACATTTTTTTATATCAAATATAATGATATAGAGGATATTTGTTTAGTTCAGTGTAAGATCGGAATATATTTCACCGAGTGAGCACCAAAATGTATATTTCACAAGTGGCGCAGCCACGAGTGAAATATGAACTTTTGGTGTTCACAAGGTGAAATATATTTCGATCTTACACTAAACTAAACAAATTTTCTTTTTATTATATGCAAAGAAACGTTTTAAAAAGACATTAAACCTAATACTGAATGAAAAGCGCGCCAAATAATAATACAACGTGACATCATTTACGACGTCACGTCATTAAGTTGGTACCCAGGTCTGTGCACCCTGGTATTTCACTCTAACAACGTAAGGGGCTTAAATTCAAAACAGTGAAATTATCAAAGTGGTAATTTCACTGTTTCAAACAGTGAAATTACCAGTTTTATATCACGGATATATTTCTATAAATCACCAAAAAGCATGTAATAAATTTGAATATTCAACCATGTCTGATGGTTATTTTAAAAGGTAATGACACTACATAGTGATACTACATAATTATACATAGTAAACAGTTGATCAAGGTATATAATATAAAATTATACATGACAACTATTTTGAAAAGTCATTATCTATGAATACTGCAATTGATTTTGAGGAATTCAAGTACAATAACATGTACTAAAAATAATAAGGCTTTGTGACTGTGTAAGTTCCTTGTACATAAAAATATGTTGACAATTACCAAGTTAAAGGGCACGATTTCAGGAAATTTTGGTACATATCATCAGTCCAATAAAGGCTATTTCCCCTAGCCAAAAATAGGTATATTTTCCCCTAAAACTGTCAGTATACAAGTGAGCCGTGTCATGACAAAACCAACATAATGGGTTTGCGACCAGCATGGATCCAGACCAGCCTGCGCATCCGCGCAGTCTGATCAGGATCCATGCTGTTCGCTATCAGTTTCTTTACTTGTTATAGGGTCTGTAAGCGAACAGCATGGATCCTGATCAGACTGCGCGGATGCGCAGGCTGGTCTGGATCCATGCTGGTCGCAAACGCATTATGTTGGTTTTGTCATGACGCGGCTCAAGTAAAAAATATTTGTATTGATCATGGTTATGATGTTTCCTTTGTTCATAATGTCTTATCTTACTGTGTGTATAGGGTAACAATTTATAAAATACTAAAAAGAAATGTTATTTAAAATTCACACCTGTTAAGCCCTTAGCCCCATGATAATATGGGGAAATCAAAAGCCGGGACCGCGAAGCCCGGCTATAGACTACACATGTATATTTAAAAGAAAATCAAATAAAAATTAAAGATCCTGTATGTTTTGTGATTGATATTGTTACTGTGTGTATACCACACTTGCACAAAATTATATATGTATATAATTATGCAAATAAAACAATTTTCAAACATCGAAGATTATGTAAAATGTGTACTGCAAATATTTTGTGCACATTATATTTAATCAATAAATTATATGCATTCATTTCTTATTGGAAAATTTGACTTAGAATTTATAGAAAATAAATGTCTAATTACCTCCCTTTATTTACATGAAATGTTAAATTCGGTTATCTCTTTATAAATAATGCTTATTGAAACTTACGATATTGACAAATCTTAATTTGAGCATCATACTTATGAAATAAAACCTTGAAAAAAATGTGTTACAGGATCTAGATAAATATATAGAATTCTATACCTATCAATGAAATTTTCAGTCTCAATTTTAGACAGGCGCAGCCATTTTCAATGTAACTCTATGACAACTGGTGGGGTATTCTGATAACTAAAAATCGCAACTTTTCTGATTAATAATAATCGTCGAGTATTCCAAGTAAAAACAGAAGCGGTGCAAGAAATACTGAATGACACCTTTAAAACGGATCAATGAACTATTGGTTTTTAAACAACTTCCCCGTCCATAGGCTTTGCTTAATTTCATATTATCAGGAAACAGGTTTTGGTTGTGGGCTGTATGGCTAAGTGACCTAAGTCCTCTCTTATTTATATCCAATTAAAAATTCATGAAATCTAATCTCTCTAAACATATACAGATATAGATTTCAAATGTATGCAAAATCAGTGAAGCATAAACAATTATCAAAGCAAAAGAATGAAACATTGTTTAGTATTAAGCTGGGCGAATTGTCACACGTCACTAAAGTAGGGCTGTCATTGATAGAAATTTTTGTATCGAATGGTAAATATCGATGATACATCGATATATCGAACCAAATTTTTGATATGCAAACACACTGGAATAAATGATTAAAAATGTCTCTTTTTGTTTGTTATGCATGGTTTATATAAAATATACAACAAAACCAGATGAAACTGAGTTCTCTTGTTATTTAATCCCGAAAAAAATTTACGACTAAGAATTATTTAATTTCATAGCTCGAGGGAACTGAACTCACCACAGACATGAACCAATGCTTTCTGTCAATATGTCATTATGTGACCTTAAATGCCTCTGTATGGCATAAGTATATGGCAAACTTTACAAAATACTTTCGACTCCAAATTTTTCCCATACATTGCTCTTTTTTTATTTTAACCCTTTGAAACGAACTCGGCAATTTATGGCGTAGCCGCCATGTTGCTGTGCAAATTATATAGGCTGCTTATTATTAATTATTAACATTGTCGTCTACAAATTAAAGTGGACTCGATTACCGTAAAGCACACTAAATTTCATAAACTACACATACCGCACAACAAATCAAGCGTTTACTGCTAGAATCTTCAATTTCTAAATTTGGTAATTTTTGACCTGACGTCATTAGATTGACGCATGCCCTAACAATCGAATGTAAACATGAATGGCTGGATGCTATTTTGACAAACTTGTAAGGATTTTAATTTGAAATATTTGTATATTTTATTCATTGCTATTTGACACTTTTATTTGAATGATTGAATCGATATTCAAAATTTGCATCAATATCGAGTCGACGATACATCAATATCGCGATTTAGATGACAGCCCTACACTAAAGTGGGGTAAGTGGTAATGGGGATGAATCATCATTGGGGCAAATCAATATAATAACATTATGAATACGATCTTGATATCATTTAGCGTTGAAAGGCTTACGCCTGCATGAAGACTTTTACAAATATAGAAAAATAATAGCAAGCTTGAAGGGCTGGCCCAAGGGCCTGCTTGCAAAGCGATCTTTATAGTAATGCAAGTACCTACTAGATCTTGATAGTTTTGAAAACTTTCGTTGGAAGTGGGAAATTGACACAACTCAAATTTTCGCTTTACAAGATAACGATAAAAGCTGAGGTAATCTGATTGAAAACGGATGCGTAGACTGGTGTCCTGTGCACTTCTATAGGAACCATAATACGGGGAAGTCAAAGTCTTTGGCTTGCCCGGCTATAGACTACACGTGTATATTAAGAAGAAAATCAAATAAAAAACAATTAAAAAATATTATATAGAATTCTATATCTATCAGTTGAATTTTCAGTGTCAGTTCTAGTTTGGTGCCGCCATTTACAATGTAACTCAATGATAAAAACAGTGTATTCCGATAACGGAACAAATCTCAATTTTTCGGATTAATAATAAACGTTGTGTGTTCCGAGTGAAAACTGAAGCGATGCATAAAATACTGAATGACACCTTTAAAACGGAAAACAAGAGCAATCAGTGATCACATGTGTCGCCTCATTATTGCCAATTTCATGTTGGGACAAATTTTGTGACAGACGGACAGACAGAGGGACAGTGCACAACTAGACTTGGTACTGATCATTCCTGTAAAGTTTGGATAAAATTGCACCAGTAGTTTATGAGGAGTAGTCCGGACAAGCTTTTGCGTATCTGGCAACACACAGAAAAAAACACCTTTTTATTAAAGGGCCATAACTCAACCAAAAATCATTCAACTGGAAAACCCGTGTAATATGCGCAAGGACTTGAGCTACAGATCAATCCTGTAAAGTTTCATTGAAATTGCATTAGTGGTATAAGAGAAGTAGTCTGGACAAACTTTAAAAATAACTAGAAATGTATCCATAGGACACGGGTGCACCCACCGCGCCACTGTTTTGTCAATCTTTTTACTAAGCCAAGGGAAATAACTCTACACATACTGGAAAAATCCACAAGCGAAACCCCAGGTGCAAATCTAAATATGCTGAGCAACCTGCCCATAAGGTTTAATGACTCTTTGTCAAATCCTTTTTGAGTAACTTGTGACACAAGTTGAAAATTGCAAAAAAATTTCTAAGTCAAGGGCAATCACTCTAAAAATACTAAATAAATCCAGACAAAAATACCTGGTGCACAACTGCACATGCTGATCAATATTCCTGTAAAGTTTCATGACTCTAGGTCAAATACTTTTTGAGTTACGTGGGACACAAGTTGTAAATTGCAAAATTTTACTAAGTCAAGGGCAATAACTCTGAAAATACTAAAAATATCCAGACGAAAATACCCAGGTGCACAACTACACATGCTGATCAACATTCCTGTAAATTTTCATGACTCTAGGTCAAATACTTTTTGAGTTACGTGCGACACAAAAGTGAATGGACGGACGGAAGGACGGACGGACGGACAAGGGTAAATCTAAATGCCCACCACTAAAGGGGGGGCACAAAAATTATTAAAGGGCCATAACTCTGACAAAAATCATTGAACCGGAAAATGCTGACAATATGCACAACTAGACTTGGTACTAATCATTCCTGTAAAGTTTGGATGAAATTGCACCAGTAGTTTATGAGGAGTAGTCCGGACAAGCTTTTGTGTATCTGGCAACACATAGAAAAAAAACACCTTTTTATCAAAGGGCCATAACTCGGCCAAAAATCATTCAACCGGAAAACCTGTACAATATGCGCAAGGACTTGAGCTACAGATCAATCCTGTAAAGTAGTCCGGACAAACTTTAAAATTAAAAATTATCAAAGGGCCATAACTCTGACAAAAATCATTGAACCGGAAAATGCTGACAATATGCACAACTAGATTTGGTACTGATCATTCCTGTAAAGTTTGGATGAAATTGCACCAGTAGTTTATGAGGAGTAGTCCGGACAAGTTTTGTGACGGACTGACAGACGACGTAGAGGCGACACAAAAATGAAAGGAATTTTTAACGACTTCCTCTTTTCATAGGCTTGCCTTATTTGATATTAGGACAGAAACCAGAATAAACAGAAGCAGTGTATAAAATACCGAATGACGGTGACGATTTTAAAACGGAAAATGTAAATAAAAATGAACGATCATTTCATACTACGGTAAAAGTAAATCGAGCCCGCTTTTAGTCTTTGCCTTTTTCATATTAACAAAGATATGGTCTTTTCTAGCTTTGAAATATGATTCTGTGAAACTTTTGACAGTTTTGACGTTTCCAATTTTAATTTTGATTCGTGTTACAAATGTAGCCATCCAAAACACATCTAAACTGAAGCAAGATCGTAATGTAAATATACCTTGGCTGTTACTTTATAAACTGTGAAACCTTTCGGGTGATTAGTTGGGTCAGTAACTTCAAAATACCAAATTTTCTCCTGCAAAGAGGAGGAAGCAGCCATTTTGCTGCGTTTGATTTCTAGAAAATGAACTATCCGATTTCGAATAATTAATCGAACTTATATTTACGACTGTCAGACGATTCACTCGGACCAAGACATTTCATAATGATTACCGTTTTTAAAGACGAAATGCAGTTTAAATCTAGACAATTCATTTCCACTTTTACAATTGTATTGACGTTTTACTGATAGTTTTATTATTTTAAAAGTTAAAAAAAAACTGTAATTCATGCAGTTGTTAATTTGTTTTTACGTTATATTATACTGATTAGAATAATTATTCTTGTAAAACTGAGTGAGTGAATGATCTTGAATTTTGCGCACAAATTATTGGTCCAGACCTTCATCGAACAACATCAAAACCCTTTCACTTGTGTGCTTTCTTGAATGGTATCAGTTCAAGAAAAAAGAAAATGTTCTTTTTATCTTTCTTTTTCAATATATATGTGTACTATATACATAGTGAAAATATTGTTTAAAGGTTTGCAATAATATAAATTATAAGAACTTATCTTAGTCAAAATTACATGAACACTGATAGTACAGACAAAAAATTTGAAAAAGCTGTTATTTTGAATTAATGATTTAAGTTACAATTACAGTAAAAGTTATAATTAATGGAACCATTACTGTGTATATTACTGAATATAACCGGTAGTTAGACGAAACAACTCTCACCCTTTTTCATATAAAAGTATTATTCAAGGAAAGGTTTAGGTTAAAACAGACTGACAGATATAACTTCGATCAATTTTCTGAGACATAATTGTATTTATGCCAGGGTGGTTTATTCTGTAGTGTACGTCCCTGGTTATGTGTATAGAGCGTGAAATACTATAAAATCTTTCTCTCTTTATGGACAGTAAAAGGATTAAGTAACCTTTAATCCATCAAAACAGCGTCAAGTATCCCATTTTACAAATATTTAACCAACAAATTCTATAGCAGCTCTTGAACATAAACGCACTGACAGTGACGTCCTGAAGTATTTTTCCGCTGACTGTGCATAGCATAAACATATCAAAGTAAAAAAAAGGGACAACATATAATGCGTAAATTGAAGACCGTAATTAAATCTTTAGAAATTTTTTACATTGAATTCATAAGACCAAATTTGGAATATAGTTATGTACTTATTGCAATTGTACCCAGTGCGAGCTAGAACATTCTCGATATGATTAAAAACAAGTGCCCATATATTTCAGCAGGAGCAACTAAACTAACTTTAAAATGAAATTAATTGAGAATCATTATTGGAAGAAGATACGAACTCAAACTCGTTATGTTCTACAATCAAAACACCCAAATATCTATCGTAATTTATACCATGATCAATCTTGAAAAAAAACTAGGGAAACTCTGCAATATTAGAAGAATACACTTAAGGACTACTCTATACCACAATTCTTTCTTATCGTCAGTTATTCATGAATGGAACCTCTTACCAGTTAATATATATAAAAAAGTTAACATTTAGATCTTTCTTGAATAAGGAGATGACTTTGACACGGTAGGGAATCACGTGACTTTTACGGTTACGCGTACAGACAATATGGCGGCCTAAAAACCTCGCTTCACATGTGTTTTTCAGGTAATGCTTTATTATATCCCTTTTACTTACATACGAGACCTGTTGCAGCCTACGCGGAATAAAGAATTGTTGCCGCCTATACCTTATTTTCCACCCCTGTGCTCATAGCTTTTACAAACACTCAAAAATTCAACAGAAATTTTCAATGTGGACAATTATTTTTCGGGTAACATTCACGCAAAATTTGTATTTTTTATGAATTTGATTAAACTACGTCGAGTTAGCAAAGAGAAAATGTTCATAGAATTTCTTTATTTGAAAATGTAAATATTAGGCATGTTAAATGTTGACTGGTCATTTTCTATTCCATTACACGAGAGAAAAATGATTTGGGTAACTCCCACGCGTACTTTTATTGTTGATAACTCCCACGCAATATTTTATGTGCAAGCAATATCTATGCAGGTTATAGCCTAGATATTGATTGAAAAAAATCATGATTGATGCATTTAGCATCAAACTTTCATAGAATTTTGAATAATATTAAAAATACCGCCAATAGGTCCTTGATAGAATTAACCCAGCAGGCACATCAACGTTGAACAACGTTGAAGTATGGTCAGATTTCAACGTTGAAATAACGTTGGATTTATGTTCGAATTTGAAAGTTTAAAAAACGTTGAAGTTCAACGTTGGCACAACGTTGAAGTTTCAATGTCATTTCAACATACTTTAATTCTAATATAAAGCAAAGTACTGTAACAGAGTTTAACAAAAAAAATCAAGACACTATTAAATACTTCAGCTATTTTATTTCAAAAATACAGTTCAAGTGTAGCTTAAATTCTAACGATTTAAGAAGTCCTTTTAGTTTAACAATTAAGCTACAATCTGTTCCAATCTACCACTAGTACTTCTTCTAGAGCTCTCTGTGTATGTCTTAAGTGTTTCATGATGGTGTTTGAATACTTCTACTGCTTCTGCAAGTAAAATAAGAAGTTACTAGTTAAAATTGACTTGGTCAATCTCAAATTATATATACATGTATAATTAATCAACTTAGTGATTTGTTTTATCTTAAAATGCTTATCTCTCAGATTTACATAATAAAAAAGCATAGAAATTAAGATACAGCTGAAGTTCCAAATTGACAGTAAATTATGTACAAAAAACAACAAAAACTTTTTAAAAAGAAGCTATTTAAGTCTGACCTATGATTGGTAAGAAAAACTGCTCCATCAGTTACGTCAGCATTTTCCCAAGAACAGTCCTTTCCATGTTAAATTTATGGTATACAAGCTACAACTGTAATACTCTAAATTTCAGCCAGGACCAGGATCTAGAATATAAAATAGATTTATTATTCCCTATAAATTCACGGCAATAAACTTTAAAATTTAACACTCATCTTTGTTATTTAACCTCAAACAGTTTAATCAATATTTGTTGTTTTGATAATGCAATGGATATAATGTACTTTTCAAACTAATTCACACTTAATTTTACTATCACTAAGATATAAAATTAATACAGTTTAATTGACGAATCGTCTTGGGGCGTAAATTATATGGGCCGAACATCACTTCATCTGCTTATAGGTTACAATAATATGATAAATAAATTTCAAAAAGGCATGGCTTGTAAAATCATAAATTGCCAAGGACATCAATAATTTCGCGTAAGGCCTACCAAACCCAAATCATTCAATTAGGTCGCGTTTTTGATACAAAAGTCTAAAATATTAGAAGGAGGTTTTGTATTTCTGTTTTTATTAGTATAATTACAGTTGTCATTTTTCATAGTTTGCAGATATGGAAGGTTCCATCTCGGATATTGTTTGTGATAAATGTGGGAAACATTTCATTCACGGATAGGTCTCAAATATTGGCCACATGAACAGTCTACACGGCACAGAACTTTATAAATGTTGTGGTAAAACATTTTATAGCCCAGCAAATCGGAAACGTTACGGGTTTTACTGTTGATATTAAGATGACATTCAAACATAACTCTAGATTTTATTACCTAGTTTGTAAAATAAAAGACCAGGCGCGTAGCTAGCCTATAAAGAATGTGGATTCAAAATAATCAAGGGGGTCAGGGGGCATGCCCCCTGAAAATTTTGAAATAAATGGTGCAATTTGGTGCGTTTTGGGGTCTCCGGAGAGCTTTCTTGACCAACGAAAATCCATTTATTTTAGCATAAAAATGGAGATGAATAGCTTTACTTTCGTTTATTTCAACTAGTCTACATTTCACAGCAAGTCTAACTTGCGGCCTTTGCTGGCCGCAAACTCGTTAATGATAATATCAATATCTATTTCCATGTGTCTGTAGGCGTGCAACAGGGCTAGTCCAGACATCATGAATTCACTGATTCAGGTTGGTTAGTTCAAAATGTTGTCAGTCTCGCTAGAATCGGTTCACAGACATGGTCAAACATGTCATTACTCAACAAACAGACCGAAACAAATAAACACTAGGCATACATAGTAACATTTTAGTTATAATCACCTCTTTTCTATCGCTGATTCTGCTGATGACTTCTTTAAGAACTCGATGTAAATATTTGTTTACATTTCGAAAATAAGGCGCGTGCAAACTTCCGACTTTGAAGAGCTGCAAAGGCCGACAACTTTTCAAAAAAATACTACGGTATGGTGTACGATTTAGGCTATATGATTTATAAAGTATTCAGTGTGGTAATTATCAGATCTGGCGAACGCGGCTGAATTTCAAACCACATTTTTTTTACTAAATTTTTTTTTGGTCAAAATAATGTGGATTCACCTGCGTACTCGCGTATAGGCAGCTACGCGCCTGAAGACCCATTCTAATATTCTTTAGTTTGTTTTCTTTTATGCTTTAGATTAAAAAAAAAAACACAACATAATAATGTTAAATACAGACACTAATTTGAAAAAAGTTGGTTATATAAAAGACTAAGTGATAAAATTATTTGGATGTCTTTGTCGCGAGGATCGCGAAATTATATGACATGCTTTCCAAAAATGTGTAATTTTCTCCGGTGACCTCATAATTTTGTTTTACTTAATGTTATGCTCCAGCATAACCTTTACACATTATTGTACATAATTATGTTCTCCGGCGAAGTTCTTTGTTATAATCCGGCGGAGTATTTTGTTATAAATCATGTTTCTTGATTTTCTCGTGATATTTGTTTTGGCGGGAATTATTTCATTGGTATATAAGTCAGATTTCAGTGTCACCAGACAGAGCTTCTCAGGATTTCAAGTTATTATGGATATTATTTAGGTTCAAAATTAATTTATATTGTGTTCTTTTGGCTTTAACATTATACAGTGTTAGCAAAATAAAAGTTTAGAAATTATAGTTCAGAGTTTGTGCTCTCTATTAAAGTCTTTCTTGTGATTGGAGTAAAATAAAGTGTAATTAAAGTATACTCCACCACAGTCTTTAAAATCTTAATATTACGAATAACAGTAAAATGCCATACCTGTCACGCTTCGATTTGCCACAACATTTACAAGGTCCTGTGCCGAGTAGTCAGTTAATGTGGTCATTAAGACAAATGTTTTCCACATTATCCACAAACAATATCCGAGCTGGAACTGTCCATATCTGCAAACTATGAAAAATGACAACTGTAATTGTACTTAAATTGAAATCGACCTCCTCCTTATATTTGAGACTTTTATTTTAATTTCTGCGATTAATTCATCTATATCGAAACTTCATTTAATATATTTACATGAGTATGTTCCGCTATCCATAGGGGCTTAATTCTATCCAGGACCTTTTGGCGGTATTTTTAATATTATTCAAAATTCTATGAACGTTAAGGCTAAATGCATCAATCATGATGTTGTTCAATCAATATCTAGGCTATAACCTGCATAGATATTGCTTGCACATAAAATATTGCGTGGGAGTTATCAACAATAAAAGTACGCGTGGGAGTTACCCAAATCATTTTTCTCTCATGTATTGGAATAGAAAATGACCAGTCAACATTTAACATGCCTAATATTTACATTTTCAAATAAAGAAATTTTATGAACATTTTCTCTTTGCTAACGCGACGTAGTTTAATCAAATTCATAAAAAATACAAATTTTGCGTGAATGTTACCCGAAAAATAAGTGTTCACATTGTTGAATTTTTGAGTGTTTGTAAAAGCTATGAGCACAGGGATGGACAATAAGGTATAGGTGGCAACAATTCTTTATTCCGCGTAGGCTGCAACAGGTCTCGCATGTAAGTTAAAGGGATATAATAAAGAATTACCTGAAAAACACATGTGAAGCGAGGTTTTTAGGCCGCCATATTGTCTGTACGCGTAACCGTAAAAGTCACGTGATTCCCTACCGTGTTTGACGCCTACATATTTCTATGTACGAGAAGAATTCGTAAAATGCAAATTATTCATGCACGTCCTCGTGCTAAATCACCATCTGTTTTCGAAAAATGTTTCCTTACACCATGTCTTTGTCACTGTGATGATGCTACACATCACTGCTTCTTCGATCGACAGTTGAGCGTACAATAACCTAAGCCTCATAATTATACTTCTTTAATGTGACCTAGCTCTTTCATATCAGGAAAACGCTAATATATTTACCCATGTACAAAACTATATATAGAACAAACCTACATGTACATATAGAACAAATAAAAACATTTTTGTTGAAAGTATACATAGTAGGACACTACAACCTTAATCTATCTTCTCTCTATTTTTTTTCTCCACTTTTCATCTTATTTTTTTGCTTATATATTAATATTTTGATATTTTTTTCTGTTCAAAACTGTAATTGCAATCTATCAATTTTAGCATTAAAACGATTATAATCACTCCTTATATCTTTTAAATCATTATTCCTATTTCAGACAAACCATATCGTCCGCCTGAGGAAAAAAAATGCTATATCTTGTTCACATCTTTTAAGACCATGTAAAAATTGCTTATAAAATATATACATGTGCACACTACTGGAATAAATATGTTTAAACTACGTACGTATTTAATGTAATACGAGTTTTACGCTTTCTATAAACAATTTGAAGATAATAATTATTAGTCTAGTGGGTCATGTTAAATTCAGTACTATTAAAGGTACATACCTGGACAATATGATAAGATAAGCAAAGGCCGATGAAACAACAACAACAAAAGCAGCATCAGCATCAACAACAACATCATCAATAACAATATAGAAAGTGGTATGATCAGAAAAAATTGACGCAATTTTCGGTCCCGATGTTAACTCTCTATGCTTCAGCTAGGTGAGCGATAAAAGTCCAATATTGCCCTCTTGTTTAAATATGTATATATTTAAAATCAGAAGTGATGAGATATTACTTGTTACATAATTATACTGTATATTATGAAACGTAATGGTTTAAAATCAGAAAAATAATATCAAAATACAAAAAAAGATAACATAAAAAATCAACTCAGCACTAAGATCCAACCAAGTAGCATTCTCTATCCAACAAAGGGTCCGTTTATTCAGGGCCTTTTAAATTGCAAGACCATAGTTCAACTCAATATTTGAACAGCTGTAAATGACTTTTCTTTATTTCTAACATCTTTTAAATCGCTTACCTGTAGTAAAATACCGACGTTTAGTGGATGAAAGTCTCTGATTTCCTGCAGAGCATGACTCTCGGCAACAAACTAAATATGCTCAGGATCTACCATTAAATACTCACAGTTAGTTGTCTAGTTTTTTAAAAATGTTTTTTGAAAGGTCAGCATATAGATTACTTAGGTTATTTCTGAGGTGACTTAGCATGCAAAACTAACAATTAAATATCTTATACAAAAAAGTGTTTGGAACTTCAGGGATATTAAACTTTCTAATCTACTTTCAGGACTTCTTTTTGAGTTCTAATATTTCACCTATACATATAAAATCATTTTCTCAATTTTATGACATATTTTTTTATGTTCATTTTATCTATGAATGTCGTGTTAGGATATATTTGAACGACCATGTTGCACATCACTCATTATGCAATAATCTTCATTAGGCCATATCAATATTATATAGCGTAGGTAAATCGTGCACGCCGCGAATCGTATTTGGGACGAATAATACCAACTTTACTATCTTCAATTGAAGAGCAGTAAACAAATATTAGTCACATTTATTTTAATTTTTTATCTGTCTTTGAAAAATGGGACTCTTAACAATATTAAAGAAAATGAAACAGAAAGAGAAGGAAGTTCGCATTCTTATGTTGTATCCTTTATTTGTGTATTTGTTTAATTATATCCCTGGAGACTTGTGTGTAATGTATATAATTTCGGATAGGCAACTAATTTGGATATTTTCATATTTATTTACAGTGAATAGCAGTTTAAGCCATACACCATTGATAATTTATATACATTGTATTATAAACATAGTAACCTGGAGGAAAATTGCCCGACCTTGTTGTGCTTTAAGCTTTGTCAAACAAGGTCCAAAATCAGTGTTTGGATGTTTAAAATTAAAATTTTGTCAAATTTTATATTTGTATGATAAAAATAAGTAGGGGGAATATTTCATGCATGCACTATAATTTAATGATACCAATGCAGAAATGAAATGTTCAAGACAATTTACTTTGAATAACAATGATATTTGCTGAGAACTTAACATGTATTGTCTCAAAATCACTAAATACGAAATGATGTCAGGCCACCCTTAATAATATATATGTTTGCTATTGCCGACCCAGAGTTATAAGGAGTGGGTCGGTAGGTAGGCTTTTTTTTTTTTTTTTTTGATATATGATTTTTAAGGAACGTAAGTAAATACGCTTTGTATGTTGTAACAGATTGTGGAAATTTAGACTACACTATCATCATCGGCGACGACGAACCTGACATGTAAAAGTCAGTCAAAAACATGTTCACTAGTAATCATAACATGAAATAAAAAAATGACTATGTGGACATAAATTCAAGCATGGTCAAATTACCGATGTGATTAACTAATCCTGCGTAAATATTCTCGTACGACCTGGAAAAATTATAGTAGATCACCCGGACATTTCGTTCTTACTCAATTTATTACACGTCTGTAAAAAATAACACACGCAAGATTTGTCTCCTATAATTTCTGAATGGCGAATATTTGCACCCCTGTTTCAAAAATGTTAAAATATTTAACTGTTTGTTACCGAAACAGAGATCTGCCGAGGACGCGATTTTGCGCCATTGGCGCTAAAAAAATGAGAATGGCGCAGGAAAATCGGCAGCAAAGGGCCATGGGCGCATCTAAAATCTGTGCCAGACTTATAAGAAAACAAAACTGTCTGCTGGGCTATTTAGTCATCCAGTCAAAACTGGTACCAACAGCAACATGTTACCCATGCTCCTGTAATTACGCATATTCTTGAGTTTATCCATTCCCCTATAGCTTTTGTCCATGTTATCTATTTACCGCATTTCTTCTCATAATCCCTTTCCCGCACAGATACTCATTTCTCCTACCGTAAATTTAATCCAATAAAACAAACAAACAAATTATACAACTACTTAATATTTAAAATGATTATCGGTAACTGAAAAAAAGTGTTGCTATTTTAAGAAATGCTGTAAGTTACAGTATAATCTGACAGGTGTTCAACTTGATCAACCCTAAGGTCACTCAAGTTCACGCAAATTTTGGCTGATGAAGTGTAAAAAAAAGATGTATATTTCGTCATCAGAATATTTGACAGGGTGATTAACCAATCAGAGAAACATTGTGCATGACTTTTTTCATGATCAAAAGGTCTGTCGGCAAATGTCTTTGATGTATGCTGTCTACACAGAAGCATTCAAGGGGCAATAAAATTCGTCAATATACAGTGGTAAGGGACATTTGGTGCAAAGTAGGAACAATTAAATGGATAATGCACAATATAAGACATTACAAGTAAGAACCAGCAATTATGTGAATAAATCAAATTTTTGAGCAGCCATTTAAAAAATATTTTGCCTGCAATTAATATTAGTTAGAAAGTTACCATGTAGGCATAATTTTTAATTATTGGTTAAGTACTGAATTATAAGTCATTAAGTGAACCACTTGTCATAAAATATGATTTAAGTTTTATTACCAGGGAAATTCAATTATCTACAAACTTTTTAACAGTTATTTTGGTCAATTGTTACTTATTTTCCCAAGGCCCATACTTTGGTAAAAATGGCCCATCATTTTCAGACCAAGTGGGCCCAGGGCCCAGTACTTTCAAATTCTTGGCAGATCTCTGCCGAAAATTATCACCGATTGTTGAAATTCCATAGCGCTAAAAGACACAAAAACACTCCCGCAAAAAGTAGCATCCATGAATAAAAGGAATATAATGTTTCTATTGTTAAATAATAAATACAAAATTTACACACGAAATGACCTCTGACAAATGACTGGTCGTCTCTTCTGAAGAATCTGTGAATCTTTGATGTTTACACACCTGTAGTTGTTGCCGAATCAGCAAAGAAGTGCCGACACTCAATTGACTTCCAACTCTTTTTTATATATCAGAAAAAAAAAGTCATTTCTTTTTGTCAAGGAATGATAACACATGTTTAATTATTGCTCAAGCAAAAAAAATGTCGGATATTTATTGTGTCAATCATTGACATATTATTAATCGTAAGTGCATTTTGACATGGAGTTTAATTAGACCACAGATTTATATTAATATAAATCCGTGATTAGACGTATGTATATCTGTGATTTTGATTGTGATATTTTATTTACATTTTTATGATCTTGATGTGCAATACTTGTGTCTGCTATCAAAACAATAATGCATATGAAAGTACCACAGCTTCCAAAAATTTATTTTTTCAGTCATTTTTATGACAGAATCCCCGCTGCTACCAGAAATGTTTTACTGCATGGGCTAAGTATTTAATCTGTGTCGACAGTCATAAACAAACGAACATGTACCCCAAATCACATTTAAATTACCCCCATGGTAAACTAGTGACCATATAAATGCTTTACAAATATGCATTAATTGAACAAACATTATTTTTAATCCCGTTTCCACACCTTAATTTGATACGTTCTGTTATTAGTTAATTCAATTTAAGTGCCGCGCGCATGCAGTACTGCGTGACGTAAGGAAAATATCCTTCCCTGGTTGGCCGCTATTTATGTCAATACTTTAAATAGTAACACACAGAATGCCTTTATGAATGATTACTCGTTACTTTACATATTAAATGTGTTGTTTTCCTCCGATTTTATTTTTGATTACGAGGGAATTTTTTGGGTCGAATGCCCTGGCTGATTTGGCGGAAATAAAAAAAATCTGATTTTTTAAAGCTGAAAAAAACTTTTGAGTCGGGGCATTTTCGCCGGGTCGGCCGGCAATAGCAAACAGATAATTTTTTAAGAGTGGCCTCATATATGAGACATAAATAAATTATACAATGTATATCAATTTCCAATTCACAGTAGCTTATGGTATGGCATCACTGATAGTCAGACTTCCACCACTTCTCATGCTTTATTATTTTCATCTGGAGGAGAAGTCACTAACGAGATAAAAAAAAGGAATTGTTAGGAAATGAGTTGAAATGATATAATTTTAAATGTCTAATGCTGAAAAGTTTACATAAAAGCTTGTATTATAACTTGAACACTTCTTGAAAACTTTCCCATTCATGCTTTTTTAGCTCACCTGAGCTTGCTCAGGGTGAGCTATTAGGATCGGTGAATGTCCGTCGTCCGTCGTACGTCCACAATTGCTTGTGAACACACTAGTGGTCACACTTATGACTCAGTCATCATCAAACTTTGTCAGGATGCTTGTTTAGTCAATTGCTCGGATGAGTTCGAAACTGGGTCATTTCGGATAGAAAACTAGGTCAAAGGAGCTAAAAATAGAAAAAAAACCTTGTGAACACTCTAGTGGTCACATTTTTGACCCAATCATCATCAACCTTTGTCAGAATGCTTGTTTAGATTATTGCTTGGATGAGTTTGAACATGGGTCATCTCCGAAGAAAATCTAGGTCACAGGAGCTATAAATAGAAAAACCTTGTGAACTCTCTAGTGGGTCACATTTTTGAACCAATCATCATCAAACTTGGTCAGAATGCTTGTCTAGTCAATTGCTTGGATGAGTTCGAACATGGGTCATCTCTGATGAAAAACTAGGTCACAGGAGCTAAAAATAGAAAAACCTTGTGAACACTCTAGTGGTCACATTTTTGACCCAATCATCATCAAACTTTGTCAGGATGCTTGTTTAGATAATTGCGCAGATGAGTTCGAATATGGGTCATCTCTGATGAAAAACTAGGTCACAGGAGCTATTAATAGAAAAACCTTGTGAACACTCTAGTGGTCACATTTTTGACCCAATCATCATCAAACTTTGTCAGGATGCTTGTTTAGATAATTGCGCAGATGAGTTCGAATATGGGTCATCTCTGATGAAAAACTAGGTCACAGGAGCTATTGATAGAAAAACCTTGTGAACACTCTAGTGGTCACATTTTTTACCCAATCATCATCAAACTTAGTGTGGATGCTTGTCTAGTCAATTGCTCAGATGAGTTTGAATATGGGTCATCTCTGATGAAAAACTAGGTCACAGGAGCTAAAAATAGAAAAACCTTTTGAACACTCTAGACTCTAGTGGTCACATTTTTTACAAAAAAAAACCCAGTCATATTCAGGTGAGCGATAAAGGGCCATCATGGCCCTCTTGTTTATTATGCATTATGACCTAAACAGTTCTCATGGCTTCTACAATATCATGGATAGTTAAGCCATAGTCATCTTTGATGTAATTCTTCACACTGGCACCGTCAGTAAGCATCAGGTGCTTGTTGTGCCTGAAGTAATGCACGGAGGGGCATCTGAGGTCTCCTTTTACCTGGAAAGCTGGAAAGTCGTCATTTAATCTCTATTGTTTTGGTGAGATATAACCCCCCCCACCCCCACACACCCCCAACTTTAGATTTTTGAAGGGCAGCGGAATCAAGTTAGCATTTCAGAAGGTCGTGGATTTACTTCTATACCCATAGTCACTGATGCCCAAAATAATATAGAGTATGGTACGTACTACCATATTAAGTTGACTCCATCCATAAGTAAAACTGCAAGTGCTAAGTCATCATGTTATAATTTATCTTTAATATGTTAATGACAATTTTGGTTTTTCACTAGAAATATGAAATTGGCAACAAAATTTAAAGCTCTTACTATAGAAAGGATGTCATCCATATTGAGTGGCAAGGAAAATTGGATCAGTGGATGCTAATTACAAATTGTGTTAATTAAAAGTAAGAACTATATATATTTTTTTAAGAATATTTTTTAAAGATCCAAATAAAGTAAGGAAATCTATGTTTTTCAAATTTTTTTTGTGAATAATATTATATACATTGTATCCTTAACACCAATACAGAGGTTTAGATAATGCAGGGAAAACAACAATATTAAAGAAGTTTAATGGTGAAGATATAGATACCATATCACCTACACTAGGATTCAATATCAAGACATTAGAGCATAGAGGGTAAGTTACTTTAGTATTGTATGAAACTTAAAGTAGCATGCCTCCAGATTTGTGCTATTTTTCATGATTTTTTATCTTTTAAAATGTTTTAAAAAGTAAAATATTGTCAAGAGAGTAAAGAAAGTAATTTGCTTATTGAAAATCTGTAGTCATTTGGTTTTTCAAAACGATTACTGATTTTTGAATTTTTTTTTTTTTGCCTATTCCTGACACTATTTCATGCAGATAATCTAATAAATATCATCACATGCATATTCAGTGTGGAAGAAAGAAAAATGTTTCACCTCAGATTTACATGTAGTATTGTGAAGGAAACAATTATATTTTATATGAGAAAAATATTCCTTCATTGAAACTCAATTTTCATTTTTAGCTTGTCTGTTTCAAAGAAAAAGTCTAGCTATTATGGTTGCTTCATTGCTGTTGTCGTCATGGACAAACTTTAATGTAGCCCATTATACAAACCTTATAAAAGGTTTCAACACAGAACTTGAAATACTTACTTATCTGAACAAGGTGCAGGTTGTAAGACAAGGGGCATAATGCTGAAAGCTATAATTATTATCTTTTTGGAGTTAGGCCCCTTTATAACTGAGAATATAGATTTCTTTTGTCAAAATTTGTTATAGATAGTCGTTGCCTTCAACAGTGTTAACACTACATGCAGTGCTTGCAGTGTAATTGTTTGTTTTATTTTTTCGTAGGTTTAAATTGAATGTATGGGATGTCGGAGGTCAGAAGTCACTGAGGTCATACTGGAGGAACTATTTTGAGAGTACAGATGGATTGATCTGGGTCGTTGACAGTGCTGATAGGATGAGGTTACAGGACTGTAAAAAAGAACTTAACAATCTTCTTGTAGAGGAGGTAAAATGCTTTATTGAAAAATTATGCAACTCTCAGATCTGTTAATTTAAAGCCACATTAGACCTCAGAAACAAATTTTTTTTTTCACTCTATAGACATGCAAAAATGACTTTCTCAATCTGTAAATAATGTTTTTAGAGCATGTTTGATATTTATAACTTGAAGAAAGAAGCACTGAATCTGACATTATTTGTCCAAAAAGTAGCGAAATGTAACAAAGTAGTATTTTGACTTCAATACAAAAGACTAAATCTCTATAACTGCAGTACTTATTGCCAAGTTGCAATAGAAACAAAACAGTTTTCAGGTATTTGTCCTATAAGTATCTTTTTGGAAGACACCAGTAAAAAAAATAAGAATAAAAGCATTTGTGGGGTATAATACACCTTTAAGCCTTAGGTAGCAAAGGGATTTTTGTATGCTAATGGCAGTAAAAAAAATTGAAAGGGGGAGAACACTCAAAAGTGTTGAAAAATAATAGGTTATAATAAGTTATAGGTGAAAATTGCAGGCTTAGTTTGATTTAGTCTGGCTAATAAGAGACACTGATTAGTTTATATCTCCAGGTCTTCCCCAGCACTGGCTTAAGCGGTATTAAATTTACAGCACTATAAGTTTTGTTTGTTTGTTTGGGTTTTACGTCACACTGACACAGTATAAGTATTCAAAGGCAAGAAAAAATAAAACATTTATGAAATGAAGATGTCAATTGAAAGTTACTCATCCAAAAGTATAGAATGTGGTTAGTGCGGTCTGGCCATGCTCTTACTAGTGGCAAGCACTAATCACTGACAGTCTCATCATCTTATGGATTAAATTTGTAAATGCAATAGGGCATACTTGCCATAATGTCCCGGACATCCGTGAATGCCCCTGAAATCAGGTTATAAAGAAACAACAATGGCAAGGCTTTGTTTAAAAGAGATACGTAACATAATACATGTAGTGTTACATCATGATGAAACAAAATGTACTATATTCTGAGGTCACTGTGGCAGAATTTTTGAGCACGCTGACTTCTGAACACTTGTTTCTTCTACTTAGGATATTGAATTCTATCATTGGAGGAAGTTATCCAATTAGCTGAACGGAAGTTCAGAGGTTCTACTCTGGTTTCTGCCTGTGTCTGATATCCTATATACGTTTTGGGTTGGTTTATTTAATACATTGTATACTGTATATCTGTTGTTAGACTTAGATTTACAACCAATGGTTTTTATCTGTTATATATCCATTATTTCCACAAAGAATAGAAATAAAACTGTTCTACAAAGAGATGCTTCCGTGGCTGTGTGGTTAAGGTAGTTGACTTCAAACAACTTGCCTCTCACTGCTTTACGTTCGAGCTGCACAAGTGTTGTCAGGTTCTACATGTCAGAAAACTATCCAGCTAGCTTACGGAATGTAGGTGGTTCTACTCAGGTGCCTGTTTGTGCCTGAAATAAAATACAGAGGGGCATCTGAGGTCTTTCTACACCTATAAAGCTGGAAAGTTGCCAGAAGACCTATACTTGCTGGAAAACACAACGAAAAAAACAAAACCAAAGAACTATTCTATGAAGATTGATCAATGTTTTTTTTTGTTTCAGAGGTTAGCAGGAGCCACCTTACTTGTGTTCGCAAACAAACAAGATCTACCAGGAGCTTTATCATCATCAGATATTAGAAAAGTAAAATTAGATTTGTTTTATAATATTAGTTATCATAATTTCAGGAATGTTTTTGTATATACTTATACTGTAAAGTGCATATAGATCTACTTACAATAAGTGCTGCATTTTTTACAAATAAAAAAGAATTAATGAAAAGTACCTAACTTGGTGGCATGGCCAAGTGGATAATGTGTTGTACTAGTAATCTAAAGATTGCTGGCCACATAGGTTTTTAAACCCCAAGCACGGGCAAGTTGCTGTTTTCTTGAGCAAGAAACTTTACACTAATTCCTCAGTACTGGTTGGTTCCAGGTACAGTTTCAAAAGTGTCTATAAGCTTATAGCTTCCTACACAATCAAATTAAAAAATTCTATATACTAGTAAACCAAAAGTACCTTGCCCATGGAAGGCTATGATGTGGTAATTCAGTATAAATAATTGTCTCCAATAAAAACATGCAAATTACTGTTCTTTTTTTAATACATATTATGCAGATATACCCATTTAGATATATCCATGTCAGTGACAATCTTAACTTTTTTTGTAAGATTAAAAAAAAAATGTTCACAATGTTTTAGTTTCAATACAAATTTTAGCATTTGTACATAATAACTTTTCATTTTGCTTACTTCAAATGGCTTTATCTTACTAAAATGTAGCATTTTAATTATATTTCATTTGTGTGTTTACATCCTTTTCCAGGGCTAAATCTATGTTCACATTGTTTTAGTTTCGATATAATTCGAGCATTTGTACATTATAACTATACATTTTGCTTACTTTTAAATGGCTATTTTTACTGAAATATAGCATTGTAATTATATTTCATGTGTGTTGTGTTTACAATGTATACCTTTTTTCCCAGGGTTTAAATCTGGATGAAATTACCACACACCATTGGTTAATACAGGGCTGCAGTGCAGTGACGGGCGAGAATCTACTAGAAGGAATTGACTGGGTCGTAGATGATATAGCATCAAGAATATTTACGATGGACTGATGTTTATTTACATTTTTAGGATTTTATTTTATCGACTTTCTGTGATAAACCAGTACATTAATGTTGAACAAAGATGAAAGGAGTGAAAAATTGTTGAGAGATTGATATCTGCCACTGTGGGAAATTAATCATTAATTTGAGCACATTATGTTGGTGCCATATATGAACATATTATTTTTTTTCGTGATTGTGATGAAAATTAAGAGTTTATTTGAAATAGCCAGTATATGATGCTATATAAAGGAAACAGAGCCATTGTCCAAGTAGGACTCAAGCCAAAGACTGAGTCTAGAGGTAGACATTCAGTTCATTAGGTTAGTCTGTCCCCTTAATGCTTAACAATGTTCCGTTAAAATGCGCTTGATAATCATTGTGTCTTGAAACTAGAGCACATTGGAATTACATGTGCTCAAAATATTAATGTTGCCTAAGTTTTACATATTTACAATACAGTTGATAATAGTATTCCTAGTAGTGAATGGTTGAAGGAACAGTATTGTTGTCCTCTACCAATATAATTTCTTTTTCAAATGGTAGACCTTTCAGAACCATTGTAAATTGCATATAATAAACAGTTTTTATCACATAAGCCATGACACAGAAGTCTAATAAGTCCATTTAATAAAAACGATATTACTGTAACGTCATTGCGTTATGTACAAACATATCTGGGATATACGATAACTTATCGTATGTCCCGGAACATATATAGCATTCAAGTGCACTTATGTTAACACAACACTGAAAATGACTATTTCAGCTGAAAACCTTTGTTATTTTATGATTTTATTAAACTCTTTCAATAAGTTTTGTATTAAATGAACACTGTATATTCAGATTTAATTGCCATTGCAATGATTTCTTCATTTATTTTGGCATTTAGCTTTGAATAATTAGCCTACTGAATTTGTAATAATTGATATGAGCCGTGTCACGACAAAACCAACAAAGTGCGTGTGCGACCAGCATGGATCCAGACCAGCCTGCGCATCCACGCAGTCTGATCAGGATCCATGCTGTTCGCTTACCAACCCTATAACAAGTAGAGAAACTGATAGCGAACAGCATGGATCCTGATCAGACTGCGCGGATGCGCAGGCTGGTCTGGATCCATGCTGGTCGCAAACCCACTATGTTGGTTTTGTCATGACACGGCTCATATGTGATGATAGATGAGTGTATAACAGGTTTTTCTATCTGAATTAATATTATCGGTAAAACTTTATATGATTCAGGATTTAAAAGTATTCAGGGTGATGCAGCAATGGGGGCTATTTTGTTTCAGTCTGGAAAAGTACATTCTTTTAAAAGTTATTTAAAAAAAAAACAGAATACCCTATGTTTTGTTTATGATACATATATTGTAAGTCACAAAATATTTACATTTTTATGCGGCTTTTCAGTGTCGAAATGTACCATTTTTAGTGATTATTATTCAATCGAAAGCAGCAAATTTTTGCAAAACAGCTACGTTATCTTACATCATATAAAAGATCTGAAATTGTGTTTTTAATAGATGTTAAATTTCGAAAACAGAAGAGGCAGGAATTTAGGATGACTTTGACACAATTAGTCCATATACATGTATACAAATTACCACTTGTTAAAGAAATAAATTGATCTATTACAAATTTTGATTGTAGAAAAGGAAAATTGTTGAATTTTTCTTTTATCAATTGTAATTACTATTTGATGTATTTGTACATGTTATTCATTATAAATAGTAATAAAAAAGATAGTGGAAAGTAATGTTAGTTGAGTCTTATCATTTATCCAAGTTTCTAAACACAAAACACAAACTTTCCAATAAAAAAAATAAATCATATACAGTTTATTATGACCGTTCACGTCAAATCAACTTATGGTTGCGTTCAGCATGCATCCTCAGACCAGCCTGCATGCATTGCATATCTCATAAATTGTGATTCCATGCTGTTCGCTATCAAACTCTAATAACAATTTAGGTAAACTAATAGCGAACAGCATGGATCCTGATCAGACTGCGCGGATGCGCAGGCTAGTCTGGATCCATGCTGGTCGCAAAGCCATTATGTTGGTTTTGTCGTGACACGGCTCATATGTATTTTCAGGTCACATTTCCGTTATTGTTGTTTTAAAGCAGCATGCCTCCGGATTCATGGTAATTTTCATGAAAGTTTTGAAAATGTATTTAAAATTAAAATTTTGTGAATTGAACAAAGAAAGTAAAGTGCACATTGCAAACAGCACTAACAATTTAGGTAAATTAGCTAAAAGAGGTTGAAATATGCAAAAAATAGCCCTTACTATTAAATAATTAGTATTTTGACTCATCTGGAGGCATGTAACTTTAAAGGGCTTTAACACACGCGGACAGCAATCCTTAGAATACTAGACCGACGTATTAACCACTTGTTCACGCTGCCACTCTGGTCGTTAATATAGTATACCAATCTTTATTTCGTTCTTGCTGGTGATATTTAATAGTAAGATCATAACAAATTACGATATTTTCAATATATCAAGTATACCTGCATACCAGCAAAACCCTCTCCCTTTTTCTATGTCTCCACCAGCTAATAAACATATACTTTATAAAACTTGTAAGTACTCCAATTTCATACTTCAATGGGGAGTATATTACCAGGCCAATTCACGTGATATATATGAAATATCATCATTATTCATGGGGCACTTATATTCGTTGTTTTCGGGATAGGTCGATGCACGAATTTAATTTAATTTCTATTTCGTCTGATGTACGAATATTTTTAATCCCCTTCCGCGTAGCGGAAAGGGGATTATAGCAATGTCCTCCGTCTGTCCGTCCGTAACACTTTCGTGTCCGCTCCATAACTTTTAAACCACTGAAATAACTTGGCACAAGTGATCACCATAATGATACAATGTGCAGAGCGCAAGAATTGGGTTGCTACCCCAAAGGTCAAGGTCACACTTAAAGGTCAAACGTTAAAAAGTCTTCATTTCATAGTAAAAAGTCTACATTTCGTGTCCGCTCAATAACTTTTAAACCGCTGAAAAGATTTGAAAAAAAATTGGCAAAAGTGATTTTCATAATGAGACGATATTCAGAGCGCAGGACCGCTCTATCACTTTTAAACCGCTGAAAAGTTTTTGAAATAACTTGGCACAAATGATTATCCTAATGAGACGATGTGCTGAGCGCAAGAAATAGGTTGCTACCCCAAGGTCAATGTCACACTTAAAGGTCAAACGTTAAAAAGTCTTCATTTCATAATAAAAAAAGTATACATTTTTGTCCGCTCCATAACTTTTAACCGCTGAAAAGTTTTTGCAATATTTTGGCACAAGTGATCACCATGATGAGACGACATGCAGAGCATAATGATTGGGTTGCTATCCAAACGGTCAATGTCACACTTTAAGGTCAAATGTTAAAAAGTCCGCTTCATAACTTTTTAACCATTGAAATTTTAAAAAAAATAACTTGGCACAATTGATCACCATCATAACAACATGTGCAGAGCGCAATAATTGAGTTGCTTCCCCCTAGGTCAAATCACACTTAAAGGTCAAATGTATAAAAGTCTACATTTAATGTCCCCTTCATAACTTTTAAATACCCCCAGGGTCAAGGTTATATGTTCTCCATAACTTTTTTTACTTTCTGGAAGATTTTAATCACCAACGTTAGACTATGTGCTTATGATATGCATGGCACAACATCAAGGTCATTGTTAGTAAAAGGTCAAGAAGTGCCCATCATGTTCACTGCGGAAGGGGATTTAGCTGTCCTTCAAAATGCCTTGTATTACATTATTTACATTGTACTTTTTTGGTGGGCAAAAACAGACAATCGACTAATTTAAAAACCCACGAAAATGACATTTTTGTAAGAAAAAAAAACACGGATGTTTATGCCCCGTAAATTAAGTGAATTCACAGAAACAATCATTTAAATTTTCTGTTGATATGATGTTATATTAAATACTGTGATTTGATATGCATATTTTCAAATACCGCGACCTCATGCTTACTATATATAGTAAATTAATATATTTTGTATGATGTGGATGTTATTGCGTAATGTATTATGATAGCATTATCATGTTTTGCTATCGATGATGTACATTTTGTTTTCGATTTGAAACAGTACTAGTACTGGAATTTTTAACATGCAAACCGGTTTAGAGCAATACAGAAAGCGTTAGCACTGTCAGCGTCAATTTCGTATATGTTTGAGTAACGTAAAGAAAAGGAAAGTCTGAGCTTCCGGTTTTTGCATTTGAAAGTTCGTGAACATTTCACAAGGCAGTTAAAAAAATACCGTTCTAGTCAAGTTAAGCACAGGCGTATGCATTTTGAAATACTCCAGAATTTACAGTACATTTCAGTTTAAAGTATTTAACGTAATTAAGTAACGACTGTTGCGATAAAATAGTACACATGTAGAATAATTTGATAAATTATGTGTAAAGCAAGCTAATGTGATTCCACGTGAAGAGATTTTATAGAACATTTCAAAAACGAAGCATTGTCCATTGGACGGCGAGTGGAGCCTCACGTGCAAAAAACCGCCGACAGTTTGAATTTTACTGTTTATATAACTGCTTACTGATTAGTATTTATGTTACTCATCGCTGGATTTCAGAACTTTCAGTGCTTTGATTATTCGAGACGATTTTGGATGGTGACAATGTTCCTAATTGACCGTGCACTACCTCCTTTTCAATAATTATTTTACTGTAATTTGAGAAACAGGAAGTTAGAAATGGCACGGAAGTGTCCTTTTTTGAAAAGATATGTCATTTTTCACAGCCATTACTAGTATTCAAATAGGAGAATAATAGGATCTCTATGTGCAAGTGGTCTTTTTCACAGGTTTTACTATCCTTTCATTTTCTTTGTTCGTTTGTTACTTCGCGTACACACATGTTTTTGTGTATTACTATATAATTATCGGTTATCAGTTCATCAAAGTATAAACGAATTATCTAGTTTTATCTACCGAAATTATTACTGAAATCGTTTAAAATGAAAAGTAAACATAAACGCGGAAAGGTTACAAAAGGCAAGATATCCGAAAATAAACATTGACTATAAACGGAATATAATGGTCGGGTTTTACATTGTAATTCGAGCTGAACGTAATTCTCTTCTCACCATAGCTACATATGTCTTATTTAAACAAATACGGTAGCCAATAATATAAACTTGATTTAAAAGATTAAATTGCCATGTTTCGTCCTTTAATTTATGAAATATCTGTAACTCTTTATGAAAATAAACACTTTTAAAATACTTACAAGTGGTCATGAAATCTTGATCGAGTGAAAGATTAATCAAAGTAAGTCATCAACACAAGATTTGAGTCATGGAGTTTATTTTTATGCCAAAACGTGAGCTCTAAATCGAACCAATGAGTTACAAAATGCAGTCTGCGTGCCCATCAACGTTAAAGGGACTCCACTGAAGTCTAAAGGCTTAAAAACAATAAATTTGATTTTCTTACATAAATGAGCTTGGATACTAAAAGAGAAAGATATTCAAAGATAATTAAGAAACATACTTAGAAATACATGTAAATTGAAAAATGTATTTTTGTGTGCTTTACCTAGCCGAATTTGAGTAAAATTGCAACGCTATTCAATTTTAGGCCATATTTAACAATTTGAATAATTATTCTGGAAAAAAGGAGTGAACTTTACACACCACGTTATTGGTCTAGATCTACATTAAATGGAACATTAATTTGGAAAACTATTTTCAGTCCCGTCATGTCAAAAATGTCAGCTGAGTCCCTGTAAGACTATAGTATAATGTAATGAAGAATCATTTTATTTATTGAAAATGATCATGTAGCTAAATTTATATAGCCTCTGTGGCCGAGTGGTTACTGACGCTGCTCAGTCTATTCATTTGTTCATTTTATTTTCATGTTAGTATGTTATCCAGCTTTTCTGCGGAAGATGAGTGGTTCTACTCGAGTACCTGTCCGTGTTTCACTTTGAATAATGTAGGTAGTGGGAAATATTTGACTGGCAGGTCACCATATGGCAATTACAGTTTAGATGTGACAAAATCAACAATCAGTACGATATATTAAACGAAAATCAAAAAGTATATATGGACTTATTTTTTATGTAAAAACAAAATGCATATTTTTCTTCTTAAAGGGTTAATTACCATAAAGTTCAAATTGTTGTAAAATGTATTATATTCACTAATGAACAAGAACACCACTTTCGTCCCATTCAGATTCCTACGAAAATGTTGCTATAATTCCTGAATTCTGAATAAAATTTTGAGTTAACAAATATATATTATGATAATGAATATTTAGATAATAATATTCTCACGTGAGAAATGAAAAAGGAAATGAACAAAAATTATTAATTGATAAATTAATAGCATTTTTCGCATAAAAAACTAGAATAAATAAATAAATAAAAAAAATGTAGAAATGACACACCAAAGCTTGGAAAATAAGCATAACGAAATAAAAATAAATCTTGATAAAATTTTGATAAAAATCCCCTTCGTCTTTTTAATAGTAACGTATTAATGTATTCCTGCATGTTATGCGTAAGAAACGACTAAATGTGCCCTTCCTAAGAAAGGGTTCACATGAATTTTATTATGTTTAAATAATTGGTTTACACCATGTTAGATGCACATCATTTGAAGAAAAAATGTTTTTTGTCATAAATTAGAATACTAAATCACTTTAAGTGCACTTATTGACGAACAGAAACATAAGCACAAAAAATGGTTCGGGTAATTGGCCAATGAGTTTTTTTTAAAACTATTACATGACCACCAAAAGGAAAGTTTTTGAGAAATGAAAAAATAATTTTTTTTTCTAGCTCACAAATGACCTTAAATCCTTACCATGTTGACTCTGTGTATCAGACTTCTCTTGACGGTCTTATAAAGGGATTCATATTACTAAAGTAAGGTAATCTGCATGGACATCAAAGGCTGCCACGGCTAAATTCATGTACTGACAGCTTTTCTACATTTTAAACACTGACACTCAAAATTAATATGGAACTTTTACGAAAAAAAAACAAACAAAAAAAACAAAAAAAAACAAAAAAAAAAAAAACATGTATTAATATTGCATACGCGATAATTTGCTCATAATAAACGTAAGACTTTATCCGCAAGAAAAGAAGGTGTTCTCTCCATTCCGTTTTCTCCTATCCTTTATTTATTCGTAAACGTTAACCCCTTGGATAATAATTTTAACAGTATTAGTCAGACACAATAAAATATATTGAAGCACCTTATATATAGATAAAGTAATGTGTCTGTTTATTTGTAACAGATAAGAAACACGGCTTATTTTGATTTAAAATGCAGTTTATTTGTACTGATATGTGATTTATAAGTGTAAATTAGAAAAGTAAGACTTTATGGGCCTTTCACGACAATTCAACAAATACTTTTACAACTTTCATGTGAACTATCGGTGTTATCAAGTCAATATACGTAATTTAAGCTCTGATAGCATTGTTTGGATAAAATAAAAGTGGTACACACAACATTGTTTTAACAATTGTAAACGAGTTCAATTTCTAATTACTAATCAATAATAATTTAAAAGTAAAGAAAGTATATACATGTATCTAACACATATACAACGAGAATCCGCGCAAAATCTTTTTTGTCCACTTCCGGTAAAGTCTTTTTTTTTATAATCCTCAATTTCTTAGATAATCCCAAAGTATTTTTTAATAATCTCAAAGTTAATCATAATATGTAGCGAAAACACTACCGACAGCTGTGAATTCGCCCGATTCAAAGGTAGCAGTGGCGTAATTGTCATTTTCTTTATTCCACAGACATCGACTCACGTGCCGCATGCTCTGTCCCTGATTTTCTAGAATCATGACATGCGCAATCAACTTGTAACGCTGACAACCGGAAGTCTTTATGCGTTCTTTAATCAATTCGGCTAAACTTTTGCATAAATTTGGAAACTTCTTTGGGTCGTATTTCTTTCCTTTCAAGTAATTTTCCAGCACATGCCTGATAATTTCTTCTGCCTTCTTCGTAGAAAATCTTGTTTTATCGTCTGGTTCGAGACGGTACGTGTTTTCGTACTGTTTCTGAATCTGTGATTCTGAGCCACTCTTTGAGAATGATCCACCAAAAAGTTTAATTTTGTGTCTGAGTCTCATTAATTTGAGTTTTCCTGTACCGGTTGAACTTTCGCTCTGCATGGTTCCGGCTCGATCCCTGGTACCGTGTGATTTATGTGACACAGCGTCGTGTTTAGGATCAGCAGTCTTCCCTGTGGCGTTATGTGCCTTCAACACTTCCTTACTCAATCCTTTTTCCATTGTGATAATATCACGTTCGAACGATTTGTTGAATTAAAACTTTTCTAATTCAAGGATTAATTGTTCAACAAACAGACGAGTTTAATTTAAAGTTATCCAACAAATCAGATATTTCTTTAGAATCATTTGTAACTAACAAGTATTGTATGTATTTAACATTCAATTCGAAATGACAAATGAGTAAAACAAACAAACTCTGCGCTTCACTTAATCTGGTGAAGAGTAATGTCTAATTCACCCTAAAATGTCCGGTTTTTGTCTCCTGCAATTTTATAAATCCTTAAGATATTTAAACTACTGTGCCGTGTTAAAGCTCTTGTGATGTGAGAATATATATTTTCTTATCAACTTTTGATTTAAACGTTCCACCCCTGTAGTAGTGTATCAACAATGAACATAATTTTACAAAATAACATTTAAGTATCTAGTTACGAAAATCGAAGGTCGGAATGGTTTGAAATTCGTTTTAACAGTTGATCCTTTCACAAAAATAGCCAATATTAACTGAAAATCCCAAGGTATATTTGTGACAAATTGCTATTCAATTGTAGGGCAATTTAGATGTTATTAAATTGTAAATATATATATATGAAATACCTGCATAGTGATATGCCATACAACAATGCGTTTGGTAGTTTGAATGCATGGTTTACTGATCAAGGTTCAACATAATTTCACCATAGATATTTATTCTGTCAATATTTTTATTGACACACAATACTGAATCTAAATACCAGTATATACATATCTCTTACAAGGTTCACATAAAGTAAATAGAATAAGAAAAAAAATCCATAAATTTTAACAGTATAAAGAGCGACTGGTTTTCAAAAGGTTGCAAGTATATTTGTTTGACTGTAAGTCAAAAGTTTCAAGACCGTAAAATGAAAAAAAAGCAAACAACACAAGCGAAATTCGAAATATTCATGAGTAAAGAGTGATATTTACTATGCAATATCACATTTATTGTTATAATGGAAAGAACGTAGAGTGATATTTACCATGCAATATCACATTTATTGTTATAATGGAAAGGGTGTAGAGTGATATTACTATGCAATATCATAAATATCATATTCGCAAATATTGCGATGATGGGAACAGCGTAGAGTGATATTTACTAAGCAATATAAAAAGTATCGTTATATAATGGAAAGGGCGCAGAGTGATATTTACTATATGATATCACATTTAATTTTCATTATGACAAGAATGTTTTAGTGATATTTTCTGTACAATATCAACTTTATTGTGAAATTTACTATACAATACTAGTATCACATTTATTGTTTTAATGGAAAAGGTTTTTGAGTGATATTTACAAATTTAACTCGTGTTAATGTATGTGAACAAAGCACCCATTGAATATTCATAACAATAAGCGAATTGATTTAAATACAAAAATGTAGTGAAAAAAGATAACATAATGATATTATTTATAATTGTGATATACGATCATAACAAATTCATATAAGCATAAAGTATATCATTCTGAAGTAGTCATAAAATTATTATGAAGTAGTCATAATATCATTATGAAATAGTCATAAATTTTATCTCAAGCATGCTAAGTTGATCCTTTGTCAGGGCTTAACATTTCTCATCAGATCACGTGTTCATGTATTAGACCAATCAAAATACGACTGATGTGAAGTAACAAATCTTGTGCAGTAGGCAGAAAACCGTGACTAACGCTTTTGAATAAATGTACAAACTCGTCCTGTATCTCACACGATATTTTCTTCGGGTCTGGTCATACAATACAACACTTATATAATCTGGGTTGTTTGTCTATGTCTGACACTAATAATCAAAGTAACCAGGCGCTGTCAAATTTTATTGATGGTCACATGACTTACCGTTCGTTGGTGCCTTAATCTGAATATAATTCGACCTAATCAGTTCGATGATAAATTCGGATGAATTAAACATGGTGATATTTTTCATTCGAATTATAAAGACAAATACCTAAAAGATGCCATTTCTTTTTTATAAGGGTTTGAGTCATATAGCCATACTGTTCACATCTTAAAGGGACTCCACTGAGGTTTTTTGATGTGAAGGGACCGAAAATATTTTTTTCAAGATTTTTATATAGATGTATGTTTAGACCAATAACTCATGTACAAAATTTCAGATAATTCGCTCACTCCGTTTCCCAGAAATAATCAATTTTAGTGTGCAAAATTGGCCCGTTTAAACGCTTTTCACTCAAATCCGCCAAAAATTGCATAAAAATCGATTATCAATTTCATACTGTGTACATTTATATATCATCTATTGCTTGGTTTCAAATTTAAATGTACCAGATGATTTAAGAAAGAATTTCAAAATTTATTATTTTAGGCTATTGGACCTCAGTGGAGTTCCTTTAAGCCGAATTTTTAGTTCAACTGGCGAACCGTTCCTTTATGTCATACACACCACATGTAGTTTTCTACGTAGAATCGCCAACTTTCCTTTAGTTCGGAATCATTCTTGATAATGTTTGCACGTCGAGCAAAATTTTATTCAGATTATTACATAGGCATATAATAATGAACCTAGATATCTGCCTTTTTAGCCGGTTTAATTGTGTTCTTGGTGTTTAACACTGCTCTATTGATAGAACTAGTTCTTGTAATGCATTTGATTTACAATAAAAGCTGAAGTTTATAGCTGAATATCATATGACTGTTCTTTATGCACGAGCTATACTTCTTATGTCATATTTTATCATAATTCACGACCATAATTAATCATAATTCACCCTCCTTATTATCGTAAATCTGAAAAAGAAAAAAATGAAAAAAAGTATATCAAATTAAGAAATCAATCCCATTTTCAAAGAGAATTTATTTCGATTATACCATATCAATTTACAAAGTAAATACTTTATTGAATCGTTAACCTATAATGAAAAATACAGTCGAATGAGAGATACTGAGAAAAGGAATTGTGTTTTTTATTAAACCACCTTTGAGGTATTTATGATTATTGGCATTTAATGTTTATCACAACCAAGGTTGTAGACCTTCTATAAAGGCTGCTTTGAAATCATTTTAAAAATAAATTGATCTTTATAAGTTTGCCGGTTTAAAACATTAATTGTAGAAATGATAAATTACATAAATCATTCTTCGGTTTAATAAAGCCCTCATTCGTCTTTCCGAATAAAGTTGACTGTTAAATAGAGTGATAGATTCAGTTGGCCTTTGTGTTGTTTAATGACGGTGGCCACTTTATTTCAAAATAAGTACATTCTTTTTAACCCACAGACTATCCAGGGGCTTTAAAAATTTGTCAATTTTATTTTCGTATTATTTCGTTTGAAAATGACCCATAGACATAGCGTCACCCTAGTGCAATATCAGGTTAACTCCTAGTAAATTATATAAGGATTTAACCCGTTACTGCACTCATGTGACTATAAGATTACTGAGATCATTTATCGAATTTTTAATTATCATTCTATTCGCTACTCTTCCTTACAACAATTATCTGTTAAAAGTACATTAATTTTGATATTCAATAAACATTTTTTTTCACGTTTGCAACGTCGATTTTCATTGAATGATTGAAGTGTTTACATTTTCTATATACGCGTCTTCTATTAATCAAAGAAAACAAGTGTGGGCATTATGAAATGTGTAGTAAAATAATACTTTTGAATAAGTTTTAAGGCCGTTTATAATACGTCGATCGTGACGTTAATAATAATCTTTCTACTAATGCACGTTTGTAACGTCGCTTTTCATTGGATAATCGTGACGTTTATAAAGGTTTTTTTTTATAATACTGCACGTTTGTAACGTCGCTTTTCATTGGATAATCGTGACGTTTATATAGTTTTATATACACGGCTACTGCCGATTCATGGAGAAATCTTACCTTTCCTCTAAAAAATGATGCGTGCTGTATTATAAATTCGTTATAAAGATTGTTGACAGGATATATGGCCGTATATAAACGGTTGTTTGCAATATAACCCTCGTCTAACGGCTCGGGTTATATTTACAAACAGCCGTTTATATAGGGCCATATAACCTGTCAACAATCTTTATAACTAATAATATACATGGCTGCTGTCGATTTATGAAGAATTCTTACTTTTTTCTCTTAAAAAAATGAGGCTTGCTGTTTTATAAATTCGTTATAGATATTTCTATATAATCGGTTGTTTGCGATATAAACCTCGCCCAGCGGCTATGGTTATATTTCCCAACAACCGTTTATACAGGGCCATATAAAATGTCAAAAATCTTTATAACTAATATTATAGGCGGCTGCAGTTTATGATTACATTTATTTTGTTTCCTCTTATGAAGAAAGTTTGCAGTATTATAAACTCGTTATTAAGATTTTTTGTCAGGTTATATATGACCGTATATAAAACGATAATTTGCAATATAACCCTCGACAAACGGCCTGGGTTATATACACATACAACCGTTTTAGGTCCATATAACCTGTCAAAATCTTTACAACTAATAGTATAAACGGTTATCTGCTATAGAATCCTCACACCGCGACTTGGGTTATATAAGCATACAACATTGTATAAAGGGTCATATAACCTGTCAAAATCTTCAAGATTAATAATATATCCTAGCTTTATACAAATGGATTGAGAAAAGTTTTAAGTTTTTTTTTGTAATACCTGAAATATTCTGTTTTCAAATGACGTGTGTTCCAAATAAGACGCTCTGTGTTTACATTTGAGAAGGTATATCACCGTTGCTATGGCAACCACCATGGCAACAAGTGACACACATGCCACAGTGATGGCAACGACAATACTATGCTGATTCTCGGAATGTTTTGAATCTGAAAAGCATAAAGAAATTATTTGCAACAAAATTTTACAACAACAACAACAACAACAACAAACAACAAAAATATGTAACAATATTGTTAAGCCTTAAGCTGGTTAAACCGGAAGTGATGAGCCTTTGTCACCGGTGTAGAGCGGTCCATCCGGTCCATCTATGACGGCTGACCAGGTACTAGACTGTTGGTTCTCAAATTGAATGTTCAAAATTCAAAGCAAAGCAAATGCATTAACAGGTTAAGGGCTAAAGGGATTCCAATGAGTTTTTTTTGGCATGAAGGTACTGGATGTAATTTTTCAAGATTAATGTTACATATGATGTAAGTCTAGACCAATAACCTTTGCGCAAAATTTCAGATCATTTGTTCACTTTGTTGTATCAGAATAATTATTTTAAGTATTTATTGAAAAGCGCTGCAATGGTTTTTAGTCAAATCGGGTTAAGAAAAGCACAAAAAAGACGATTTGAAATTTATTTCTGAGTATATTTTTCGATTACTTTGCATATCTTTCTGTTTATTAAAGCGCCCAAGCTCAGTTAGGTAACGAATTCAAATTTGATGTTTATAGGCTTTAGACCTCTGTGGAGTCCCTTTAATTTTGATATACACTTCGATACTGTAAACGAAGAACAACAAAAAACAAAACAAAACCCACAAACAAACAACAACGCACGTATGATTACGTCATAGCTGTAACGTATTATTGCTGACGTCACGACTGTCACGTTTTAAATCTCCAAAATGATACATCTGCGCAAAGGGTAAAGGTCTTATGTCAGCGCGAAAACTGACGCCTTACAAAAAATAATAATATATATTTCTAATATTTCAAAATGCAGGTCAAATCTATCAATATGTTATAAAACGCAAGTCATTAATGTTAAAAAGCATCAAAACTTATCAATTTAAATATTTTAGAAGACAGGGAACGCCACAGGTTCTATATATTTTTACGAGTATATTGACACTTTACGTACAAAGCTTTTTATCTCTTTATGATAGAGCAAAAACAGGGGTTATATATGACCGTCTTTATATTCATTTTTCGAGTGCGCAGTTACGTGTTTCATGCACTTTCCCACGTTATCTAGATTTTGTATAAACTGTCACGATTATTTTGCAAGTAAAGTAGTGATAAATATCATACCGTGCAAGGGCCATAACCCTGGAATGCAATTCATCAGTCATATTACTTTCGTTGTGTAAAAAATAAAGGTAGCTACATTTAAAGCAGCATGCCTCCAGATTCAGGCTAATTTTCATAAAAAATGTATTTAAAAGAAAAATATTGTGAAGTGAACAAAGAAAGTAATTAATGCTTTGCAAATGGTACTTACAATTCACGTATTTTACCCAAAAGAGGCCAAACTATGCCAAACATAGCTCTTACTGCATTAGTCATGCAGTAGAATTATGGTGATAAATGCTGCAAAATCATTAATCGCACAAAATATGTACATTATTACTGAAGCCTTAAATCAGTTTTCTTTCCTTAGTACATTTCTCTCAAGTTTGATTTTCTTGAACTATTTTGGCTCATTTGGAGGCATGTAGCTTTAAATTATACAACGTAGTTTTTGCCTAGCCATATATCAAATTATTTCAATATCTTTTCGAAATTTACATCTCCACTAAAGTATTTCCATATCATTTTTAAGCCTTCTTTTTCAATTTACACCAAAAGTGTACACATGTTCGTATTATTTAATCCAGTTTTATGTCACACCGATCCTGTGAAGGTCATACGCCGGTTTTCCAAGTTACTGGAGTAGGAAGTCCTCAAGTGCCAATCCGTGCTCCATTTTAGGCACGAGATGGCACCTTGGTAGAGCCACCGAGTATCTATTAGCAAGATGAATAGCTTCCTCACATGAAATATACCTTACTCCCTGACGGGCGATCCTACATCGCTAATATAGATTGAGCGTGCATTAATGAAATAGGTGCGCGTATTTTTCTTTTAAGGTTTAAAAGAATGCAACTTGGTTAGAAATTTTGAAAATAAAATTCGATATACAAATTATATATCGTAGATATATATACGAAAGAACAATGATTATTTAACTCCTTCCACCTAAATTCCTTAAATGAAATTGTTTATCTTTCATTCTGGGCAATACCTTTCACCATTTTCAGGAACAATTTTAAAGTATGTACTAAGTGCCAGTTTTGCCGGCAGTGATCGCATAGGAAGATTCTCTTGCCACCAGAGGGCCAAGGCTGGTTGGCAGCAATTATATTTTATAGTCCTTAATTACCTTGTCGCAAAGTCTGTTGAATTTATGTCTTATTCTTACAAGCATAACTTACATTGCCACTTACTATAATGATGCAATGATACAAAATGCATCCGATTGGTAAAGGTGATGGTTCCGTCTTTGCGGCTTATTCCCAGCCATACCGTGTATATACAGCCAGGTATCAGATCCTGCAAAACATAGGTGTCGCTGTTGGCCGACACGCATGATTTAAGAAGAGTATCCTCGTTGTGAGAACGAGTCCAAAGAATTTCTATATTATTGACGTCTGCTGCAATTTTATTGGGAAGACGATTCCACGCCATAATAATAGAAGATGCCCGAATGGATACATTGAGTGACAGAGAATATTTTGAGTTTGATACTTCTGAAAAGAGAAAAAAATCAAATAAAATGGATCTGTTATTTGTTTCCCCCGGTCCTTCTTCTTTTGACGGGTATGGTGGATCGTACTGGACATTAGCAACGACTTTACCTTCAGCTTTCAGGTCAATACAGAATTAGTTGCCAAAGGGGTGAGGGGAGGGGAGTATTGCGGGTTTACTATCTGAATGTCCTACGGCGTAGGACGAGATATTGCGTACTGTCGGTCCAAAAGTCTAAGTCCCACGGTAGTTTTAGCGGCTGGGCTGATGTTACAAATGACAGGTGCATCGGTGCTAATAAAAATGTTCATAAATATACTATGTGACTTAAACACGATGTAGTGTGTTTTATGACTATACCGTAGATAGTCAGGACATCACTGACTTATAACTATCATGTGAAATACATGTACATTGTTGTACTTAACAAGACTATCTGTATCGCATAAGAATGGACTAATATTTCCAAAAAAAAATGCATTTTCTCTTCTATTTATAACTGAAAAACAATAGAAACATAAAACAGGAACTTTGAGGAATTTTGAGTATAGCTTGTTAAACTTGAAACTTTGTTAGGTAATTTAAAACCCTTTGCAATCAATTTAAAATCAATTATTAATCAATTATGTATACATGTACATTGTATTTTACTTTTATGTACATTGTATTTTACTTTTCAGTTACATAATACAAGCTAAAGAAAAGAGTTTTTTATGATCAGGTAAACAAACTAACCGTAGAGAATACAATAAACAAAGAAAATAAGTTTTCACCTTTAATGGAAGACGTATTGAAGAACGTGGTTGCTAAGCGACGCTCTCCTGGATGCGCAATGAGCTGCGCCTCGTACCAACTCGAGTGATATAAACACTTTAGCATTATATTGGTATCTGAGAATATCACTCGTTCTGTATATTGCCAATCTGCCCTGCTAAACGGCTTATATTGGATGACAAACGATGATATGTTATTTAGTAGAGATTCAGAAAGTGTCCACGATACAAAGGCACTGTTTGAAGACGAGTTTATTGCTGTAAAATAAACCTTATGTGTTCTTGTCATTAGGTGGTTTGGAGCACCCACGTGTAAGCCTGAAAGAAAATTATACGGGTCTTACAATTGTAAGATAAAGGGTGAAAAGTAATGAATAGATTGATAAATCATAGGGGTAAGTATCTGGTAATTAAAAATTCTTACACACACAGGGGTTAGTATCTGATACTAGTAATTAAAAAAATACATACACATTAGCCAAAAGAAATCACGAATAATGGCAGGTACGCCAAACAAACAGACGGACGAAACTAGCAATCGCTCAGAAATGATGACATATGATATGAAGAATTTTAAATGCACGTGAATTTGACGAAGATCAATATTAAGATGAGCCGTACAAAAGAAATTCATCGGATCCAGTCGAACAGCAAACTTTACCATGGGGTAGCTCACGTTCTTTTTAGCTAACATTTTTTTATTAGAAAGTATTTGATTAAAATCAAGTAGCGATAATTTGTTAACTTTATATCTCTATCTTGTATTATTTATTTGAAATGTGATCTACCCAGATGTTTACAAAACGTGATTCAATTTCTATATTTCTTTTACTCATAAATCAAACTATTGTAAGAAAAGAAATAAATTACGAACGCTTTCAATATTTGAAATGTAAGTTCAATTGTATTGAATCTATAAATGACTCTTAATTTAATATCGAGAGTATAAAGTATAATATAAGAAGGTGCTTAGTGAAATAGCTATGTCAAAAAAAGAAAATCTCCCCGCGAGGTAACCTGTCTGTATTTAAGAATGATAGGATGTTATTTCAATTCTATTCATTGCATAAGACAACATAGCAGTTTCATAGTTTGAAAGATTGAATTGCCAACATTGTATTTTAACATTATCCAAGTAAAGTTTTGATTATTTTTGAAAAAGATACTTATAACGAAACACAAAATAAAACTATTTTTCAGTTAATAAAACAGTTATTGTAAAGGTGGGTCAACATAAAATCAGTTAAAGTTCATTTTAATTCTTCAAGTCAAGCACCAAAACCAACTTTATAACTACAAATCTCACAGTCTTCAAAGTGATTTGAATTGATGTGGAATTAAAGAAATATAGACTGATTTAGGTGATATCTAATACCGTTATCTCAAAACAAAATGTATTTTACTGACACACACTGGTTTCTCTTTTAGTCACTTCTTTATCCGTTAAAAAATACGTACTGTAATTCATTTTCTAAACGCAGAAATACTATGATGCTGAATTGTCTCGACTTCTGACCAGTAACAAAGGGGTACGGCTCATTGAATGTTCACAAAATATGTATCTGATGATAGAAAACATTTATCCTAAGTCAGAAATGAATTCTAAGTCCATTCCCATTACACTATATACTAATATATAGACAAGGGTAACAACTCCCATAAGAAGGTGTCTATGCCCAATCAGGGGTTTGGCCTCGCAGTTTTTTACACGATACAGCATAAATAAAAAGGAATTATGCTATTTGTAGTCGAATGATTTATCTATCGAACCAATGTAAAACTTTTATTATATCTCTTATATTTAACGAGTACTGGCCGTCAAAGTAACAAAAAACTGTTCATTTTCGCGAGGTCGACATCGATCGTGGCTACGCAGGAAACACAAAGTTACACGACTGTTGCAATCGTTGGAGATAATATCACAAGCATTTATCATGCTGGGCAATTAAAAATACATAAAAGTAATCAAAATATACCAATAACCTATAATGACAATGTGATATAAACTCACCTGCGGCTTCAAAATATTTCCCTGTTGAAATTTCTATAAAACACCGCCATCTTGACGAATGTAAACAACTGTCATCTGATTGGTCGATTTATTTCCCGAAAATATACCCGTAAATTTCCGAAAAATACCGACCAATCAGATGACGGTTGTTTACATTCGTCAAGATGGCGCTGTTTTATAGAAATTTCAACAGGGAAATATTTTGAAGCCGCAGGTGAGTTTATATCACATTGTCATTATAGGTTATTGGTATATTTTGATTACTTTTATGTATTTTTAATTGCCCAGCATGATAAATGCTTGTGATATTATCTCCAACGATTGCAACAGTCGTGTAACTTTGTGTTTCCTGCGTAGCCACGATCGATGTCGACCTCGCGAAAATGAACAGTTTTTTGTTACTTTGACGGCCAGTACTCGTTAAATATAAGAGATATAATAAAAGTTTTACATTGGTTCGATAGATAAATCATTCGACTACAAATAGCATAATTCCTTTTTATTTATGCTGTATCGTGTAAAAAACTGCGAGGCCAAAACCCTGATTGGGCATAGACACCTTCTTATGGGAGTTGTTACCCTTGTCTATATATTAGTATATAGTGTAATGGGAATGGACTTAGAATTCATTTCTGACTTAGGATAAATGTTTTCTATCATCAAATACATATTTTGTGAACATTCAATGAGCCGTACCCCTTTGACCAGTAAGATACTATGACCGGAAGTCACCGGAAGTCACCGGAAGTTACGAAAATTTTAAGAACGAAGTGAGTTAAAATTTGACATACCTGGAATCTGTACGACTTTCGTCTCGGAAATGTATTCTGGGATAGCTCGTTGTGTTCTATCAAAATCTATTTTTAGTTTAACGTAATAATATATATTCTTGAAAAGTTTTGGAATCACTAGAAAGTAGTTTTTATCAACACTGTACAAAACGTATGGTTTTCCAAAATCTCTAAACTCGAGCGTATCACTTGACGTGTTTATGACATCACTAAATTTAACAGTGACGTTTGACGCCCAGCTTGTAAAGTTGATATTGTTGACGTCACTTGTGTAGAACAACGTCATTTGTACGGCGGATAGCTCGATCTTTGTTGAGATGAACTGGAAGCGGACTAAGATACTAGAGGAAACTGGGTACTTTGTGATTGTGTACGAAGTAAGAACATCACTGTCTTCTGAAAATGAATAAAACAATTATCTTCATTTATAATTAATAAAATATAAACATTTGTACATAAAATTACACTTGCAAAAGATTGCTTCAGCATATCTAACGTTTCTGATAAGCGTATCTGATATGTAACGTCGTGTTTCATTGGAAAATCGTGACGTTTACACGGCTTCTGTCAATTTATAAAAAAAATTCATTTTTGCTTTAGAAAACAAAAAAAATGCTGTATTATAAATTCGTTATCAAGATTCTTTACAGATAATATGACCGTATACATATAAAAGTTTTTTTTTGCAATATATCCGTTGCCAAATGGCTCGGGTTATATATTCAAACAACCGTTTATGCAGGGTCATATAATCTGTCAAACAGATTTAAAACCGACAATATATACACGTGCACAGAATAGCGTAAATAACGAATTAATAACATCTTCAAATAAATTCGAAAGAAAAAAAAAATATAAGATTAACAGCTTTTTTATTCCTGCACTCTAAAAATACATATGTATAAAGTAACCATTTAAATCAAGGTTTTACTCTTTTACCTGATTGTTTATCGCAGATAATCTGGTTACAGCACTGGTTGTCAATCGGTGCTGGATCAGGGCATGTCACTGATGGTTCTGGCAGTGCTGCGGCGGTACATCTACTTAGGTTTACACACTTTATCTCCCTTGAAGGCGTGCACGTGCAAATATCACAGTCGTCTCTTTGAAACCAAGTTCCTACTCTATGTGATACGTTCAAATATTCGCACACGTTTTCTGCAAAATGCAGGGAAAATGATGATTATATAATTATATAGATGAAAGCAGTTTTATTATATGTAATGGATTGCTGTGAAAATTATGTACATGTACATTAATTCAGTCAGTTAAAGTTTGACAACATAAGTAACTTTTTGCAATTGTTAATTATGTTTGTTTTTTTCGTGTTCATTGTACTAGTTTGGTAATTTTATATTAATCAAATTAAGCTGAGGTGTTAAGTGGTAATGTTAATAAACAGCAGCAACAACAAAAGGTGAAGTTCCCTCCAGGAGATTGCAGCAAAGTTCGCCGTGATGGGTTGATGGGCAATAATAATACTAATTTTTATTTATATTCGAATAGATCTCAGGTAAATAATGTTTATTGTTTACAATATATAGGTATAAACATTTTTCATCAATATTTATTGGCCACTGTTAAAATCATTTTGGAATGGCCATTTAGTTAGGTGCTAAAGTGATCAAAATAAATTTTTATTACACCAGTACGAATTTTAATTTAAAACAGGTCTAAATCCCATATGCTTCAGTTTTAAACATAACATTTTAAAAAAGATATTTTAAGTGCTTTCACGATCAACTCGTCGCTTTAAAATTTCAATTTATCTGACATGCGATTAGTTTTGTTTACAGTTTTCTTTTCATCGTTTCAAATAAATACACACTCTCCCCGTTTGATATTGTCAAAAATATGTCAATAATAGATACAGGTTAAAGTATTTCAGGCGAATTTAGGTTTTATTGTATATCTGATATTGACAGACGGGAAATTAAAACTTTAAATACAGTTACATTTTTTTATTAAGTTTCAAATAAAATGTTATTTACACTCAATGGACTATTATATTGATTTGAAAGATTGTTTGTCGATTAAATTACAAGTTTAATTGCGAAATAAACTGAAGTAAATAATTCAAATATTATATAATCAATTCATTAATTTTTTAATACACTAATTCAAAAATACTTTAAGAAATCAAAGGGAAGCAACTCTTGCGTATTATTCATTTATCATTACATCGGTTATCGGACACTATGCTTAATTTATCAATACTTGGCACTGTAGTGTAAATCAATCGTTATCGAACTTTGAATGAACCCATTGCAGAATTTGGTATTAAAACATCCATAGGATTGTAGAAATGTAGATTGTAGATCTGTAAAAAAAAAACACCCCAAAAACAGTGGACGTGCATAAATACCTGTTTAATTTCTTATGGCCTAGTCCGTCAGCCTAAAAAGATTCTCCCTAGGGAATTGGTTAAGCATAGCACCTCTATAATGCCGTCCGTTTTTTACCATCATTATAAATAACTTGACTTAAACAATTTAGCCCCGATACAGAGTCCGTATAAATGTCGTACAATGCTCGCCGATTGTAGGCTGGAATGAACATTAACTAAGCCTAACCAACTTACCAAGTTCGTGACACTCGTACACGTCACAGCATCCATCTTCTGACTTTGTAAGAACTGGATTTGAGCAGTTTTCGGGAACCATGACGTCAGCACAAAGTGGCACGCACGTGACCGAACCGTCGTAGCACGTGCAATTCTCAGCACAGTCTATTACCCAAGAATACTCGTGCTGCACGGGTTTCCCCAAATATGTACAAGTATCTGTAGGAGTGAAATATTCTATTTGAATTTGTTATATAGGTACTTAAATAGTACTAATTATACCTTTAAAATGGCAAAAAATGTGTAATGGGAATATTCGCTGTTTAAAATCTACTTAAGTCTTAAAAACAAGCTCACAACAGGCAAATGATACATCGATTTACGTCAAACATGTCACATTTAACACGCAAAACATATTCAAATGGATTGCGCACGTGCACAACATCACGTGTTTTTAATCGCTACTGGAATCGCTGTAATATCATTTTTATTGTATAATGTCCATTGTGGAATAGTTAATGCGTCAAGTTGAACATGAAAATCTCATTATTTTGATTGTTATCTCTTTTTCTGAGTGAAATAACTGTAAAACAATCGTTTTTGTCTAAAATGATTGAAAGATAATAGAAAGGCAAAACTCGGAAACTCGTGCTGTGTTTAATTTCTTATTACTTAGATAGAAGTACGCCCTACCATATGAACAATGCTGAACGAGGTCACAACAATTTTCACGTGCTTCTATGTCTGAACATGCACGTGTATTAGGATGTTGTTTTGAGCACACAGGTACACAATGGAACCGGCCGGTGTTCGAACAGTAACACGATTCCTCGCAGTCCACAATGAGTTGTTCCCCTACTGGCACACGCCGCCCATTATACAAACAGTGATCTGTGGCTAAAAATAATGGCATATTAGTTCTTGTATTTCTTGGCAAAGAGAACGATTTCCGCGGAGTCTAGTCAAAGGAATTATTATAAAATATCAGCAAAACATTAGAATAATTAATGAAGAAATAGAAATTAAAAACTCTCTTTGGTTTGAAGCCAGTAATATAAGACCCGTTAAAAGACTTTTAAAACCAATGTTTAATGAAATTATCGTAATTTCTGCACAAACACTGTCAACAAATTAAGGGAAAAACCCCCAAAAAGATGTCGAAAGAAAAAACATGGATGATAATGTGGGTTTTAAAATTTAACATTGTTTATGACATGAATTTTGAGGTCAGCATTCCCAACAGAAGGGCGGCAAATGCAATTTATCGACCTTAATGTTACAAGAGTTGTCCCGCATTATGACAGCGTACTACATGGCTGTTTTGTATCTTAGGATATTGACTGATTATATTTTTAGTGGGGTTTTAAGATACACTGACAAAATTTTTATCAAATGTCATGAGACTACTTTACAGCTTTACTGATGTCCATCCGTGAAATTATTTCAGGCACTGCGGTAACATAAATAGAACAACCGACTGTATGTTGGCTCGCTGGATAGCTTCGTCTTATAAATGAACCTCAATCGAAATTCGAACCCAAAGTGGTCAGGGGCAAATTAATCGAATGACAAATCAAATAAAACTATTATTTGTTAAATTGAGGTGCAATATTTATACGGAGTCAGTATATTTCATTATAAATTTATTACGATAAAGTAAAACAAAATATATTTATATAGTAATAAAAAAGGGTTGTCAATGGAAAGATAAGTATGATGAAAATAACAGAAACGGAAAGAGTATGAAAACTGATAAAAAAAATCAAACACGTTGTTTCTCTTATCTCTCACACATATTATCCTCCATTAGTTCTCAACAAGGTGGGTTTCAGGAGCACCTCGGCTGTTTAATGACATCTTTTTCATTAAGGGAGTGCTTACATTTTGCACGTGAAAACTCTTCATCGGTGTACATGTGTTTTCTAGACTGCAGACAGGCTTTCGACCGCGTCTGGACAAATGGTTTATTTTATAAATTACTACATACTATTTCTGACAACGGGGAACATATTAATACCAACATTTTAAAATCGTTTTATGATATGTATAAAAATGTATATAGTTATGTACAGTACAAAGGCACAGCTTCTAACTATTTCCCAATACTGCAAGGTACTCGACAGGGAGGAATCAGTTCACCTTCAATGTATCTTGTCTTCATAAATGGATTGATACGCGAGTTGGAAGACAGCGCGAATGGCGTTTGCATTTACAATTTAAATATGTCGTGCCCCACCGTTGCCGATGACATGGTACTGGTATCATTCTCGAGCGCTGGTCTAGATAACATGCTGAAGATTTGTAACATTTACTCAAGAAAATGGCGCTTCCTATACAACCCTTCAAAAAGCGCTATTATAACGTTTAACCCAGCTATTCTAGTGCATGACTCGGTGATGTTTTCTCTTGGAAATGACGTCATACCTATTAACTTCACATATAAGCATTTAGGTGTTGAATGTGATCAGCATTTGTCAACGATGAAGTCAATGAAAGACGCATGCGTTAAGTTACGTGGTACGTTACTAAGCATTTGTAACAGTGGATTGCATCCAGTTTCTAAGTCCTGCTACACTCCGAAAAATATACATGACAGTTGTTGTACCTAAAGCGCTATATGGTTGTGAAAACTGGACCTGTTACTCAAATAAAGACATATCCAATTTAGAATTAGCACACAACTTCTGTGTTAAATTTATACAAAATTTTCATAAATCTATTTCCACAAAGTTTGCATTATGTATGTTGAATATACCAAACATACTTACTATGATAAATTACAGGAAATTACAGTTATTTGGTCAATTATGCCGATTACCATCTAAATATCTTGCTAAACAGATATTTGTTAATAGATTGATTAGATATGTGAGTGTGGATAGACAGAAACATGGATTTATTCCAGACATATATAGATTACTGCAGAAGTATGATCTGCTGTACGTCATTTATACTTTTATTGATACCGGTGTGTTTCTATCTGAATTAAAATGGAAGAAGATTTTACAGATGAAGGTAATCAACGAATCAACAAAAGAGTTATTCTTAGAAACGTTAACGCCACAAGTGCCAGCATTAACATGTCTACTTCACCCTTACAAGATTTCCCCTCTGTGGGTTATTATTCGACAAAATCCGGGTCTAAAATGGGTTGCTGAAATACTTGCCAAGGCAGTTGGACACGTGATGTGTTTTTCATATGTGCGTCGTTGTAGCATTTGCAATCTGCTTACAAATGACATTACAGAACACCTTATGTGTTTTTGTCACAGGAAAGAGACTGAAAGACGTGCCTTCTGGAACGCTATTATATCAAATTTAGGTTTTGACCAATACAGCACATTTATTTGCCATAACTACAGATATCAATGTGAAATGTTTTTACATATCGCATGTAAAATTATTGATAATGTACTTGTCAACTTTCATATTGCTATCGCGCTTGCAAAACTTTTATCTTCACGTTAAAAAAAAAGAAGAAGCAGGCAATTTAATCGCTTTATAGTATATGTAGTATTTTGCTCAGACATAAACTGTATAGTTATTTTTTAATTACCTGCATCGTTTTTTTCTATGTTTTTACTTGTTTCAATAATTAAGATCATTGATTAGTTGAGGAATAATGCTTATGACATCCGTCTATTGATAGTCATTTAGAAAGCATGTACACAAAGACGGTACCTTCACTTTCTCTTAAATTTTCGTTTTTCGATTAAGATTCAGTTATTGGTACGGAACTTAGTAACTTTGTTTATTTTTGTCACTGAGGATGAATATAGCAATGTTCATTTTTAAAACGAATGATATAAATCATAGTCTTAACTTTCGCTTTCGTTTAAGACAACAATTAACACCCATAAGTCATACGTTTACAATTGTAAAAGAACTTCATGTTATTGTATCTTTTATATTACAATGTTATGCATTTGTATATAATTCTCTTCTGTTGTATGTACATATATATACTTTGTAAATATGTTACGCTCTCCAATTTTGGGGGATAATAAAATATATATAAAAAAAAGGTCTCATTTTAACTATTTAAAGTGGATTGGTCTACAATGGTCACGTTTTCCAAAAGTATTTCAAATATTGATATAAACAATAAAAATGTATCAATTGCATATATTCTTACAAACTTTTATTGAAAAAAATGTAAAAAAACTCTTAGTGATTTATTTTTTACATTTACGTAGTGAAAAATAAAATTTTGTCCTCCAACACTTTATTATCTCCTATATAAACATATGTCTTATTGGATCGTGTATCTCACACTTGAAAATAGCATCTATATATAATTATTTCGTGATTTGTTGTTATCTCTGATTCTAAAAACTATAAACCTACTTATTTGTAATATTAAAGTCTTTCGATTAAAGACCAATTCACTTTAAAAATTTAAATATATTAAGTTTGATAAATAATTTGGGTTGCAGAACACGAACGAGGACGAGTAACATGGCTTGGACTTTATTAGGCTTACCTTTAGTTTTGGTCATCACAACCTCAGTGAGGTTTTTGTACGCTTGCCCCGCCCATACCCCTACCCTAATAAAGTACCATATTCCTGGGGTCAACCACTGTAATGAGTAACCGCTTTTAGTTCCTACCTGGAAATAAAGAGAATATTTATGTAAAGTATGATATTGTTAAAAGTATGCATGTTATTGTCAAATTTTCATGCACATACTTGTTAACTTCTACAGCTTCAAACTCATACATCTGCATGAAGTCAATCAATGTACTTTACATTTCTTGCTAAGAACACTAAAAAACAATTAGCAGTGTCATTAATAAATCTCGAAATCAGGCCCTCTAGATCAAGATGCGTGCACATCATCTTCGTTACTAGGAAAACTTCTGATTTTGTTTTTGTTTGTTTGTTTGTTTGTTTCATTTTACGCCTTTTCCCAACAGTATTTCAGTCATATAGGCGGGTAGTTTCCTAACCATCGTTCCTGGAGAGTTACACCAGTACTAGACTACCTTCCTCCGCGTTAAACTACCAAAGCATCTCCCGGGGATCGAACCAACGCCAGAGAGGTAAATGGATTAGAAGTCATCGACTCTAACCCCTCGACCACGGAAATCTTTGAAACATCAAATATAAGAAGCATGCAAAGAATGGAAAGGACACATGGCTTTTCTTAACAGCTTACATAACTATTTAGTTATTATTATTTAAACTGAATCAAAATTATAAATAAGAATTTTATCCTTCAATGTATCTCCGCATGCAACGAAATGCGACCTAAACGTGTTTCAACTTTTTTACGATAAGGCCATAAAAGCATAAAATGCTAGGTTCCCCCTTCCCAAAATAAAGTTAAATCAAAACCGGGTTTAACCATTAAAATATTATAAAGAACTATTTTAGTCAAAAGGCATAAAAAAACTATTAAAACCCGAAAATTTGCAAAAATTTTGGGGGTTTATTCCCCGGCTTTAAATAAACCCCTTTGATTTTACTAAAATTTTATAAGACATTTTAATAGGATTTTTGGCTACCTTGAAATTTAAAATATTAAAAGAATTGCCCGCAGTTTTCAACAGACGAATTATAGGAGCCAAAATTTCCCCCCCTGTTTTTTTTAAAAATATGTGATAGGAAAAAAGTCCGTGCTGAAGATGCGGAGTTAATGTTTATAAATTGTAAAGATTTATTAAGCTGTCATCAGTCATCTTATGCAGCCATCTAAGTTGTTTTCTTGGCTTTGTCTTATTGTCCTTTTGTAAAAGGTTCAAGGCTCAGATATATATTAGAAGCGACAGATTAGAAAATAAATATTCTTCGATGATTAGCTATGTTTTTACGTGGATTGATCGCAGAGATATACCAAAAGAGTGTAGTAAAATTCGCGTCAAACAACAAAACGAACGGACGAACGAACGAAATACAGAAACGACAGAATAGGAAATAAATATTCTTAGCTGATTAGCCTCTTTTTGAATACGCAAATTTGTTACAAAAGGAAATTACTCAAAGTGCTTAAGTTCATGTATGAAAACAAATTGTAAAATTGTTTGATTTTTGTTTTTCTTGAAAATAAAATGGCGACGTAACGATGCGGTGGCTGAACTGTGCTCTGGTGAATTCAAAGAGGCTTACTACCGTTATCCGGAGGGTAAACTACCAACACCCCATTACCACTACCAACCTTGAATCCATACACATTGAAAGGACATAAAGATGCTAACTCCGGTACTGTCTTCTGTGAACATAATCTGTGAACATAATCTGTGAACATAACGTTACTTTAGTGCAATAACTGATTAACTCCTATTAAATTTGAAAGAACTTATTCCTTTACTGCACTAAGGTGCGATAATTATTCTCTGGAAACGGGCACCATTATCCTCTAATGGACACTCGACATAAAGTGGCATCAAAATGTCAGACGAAAACTTTTACAGACGACAGAATTAATTAAACAAGCTATTCCATGGTATTATTTCTAAGATTGTTAAATAGTTTATCATCTACACCAAGTGAGATTCCTGTATAATATCCATTTTTTCTTATCTACAAACTGTGTAATTTCGTTTAGTTACTAAAACTGTAAAAATAAACTGAAGTAGATTGTCAAATTGATGAGATATTTCTTAGATTTGAAAATTACATTATTTGATGTTTGAACTTTGTTTTGAACTACCACTTATTAAAGAACAAATACAACAAACAGACATTTGTATATTTGAAATAACAACCATTTATACGTACAAATAAAAATACACGTGAAATCTGAAACATTTGAACAATTACACACATCACGGTTGTTTTATTTTTCTGGTCCATTCTAGCACTTCAAATTGTAGAAAATTGAGTGCCGCTCAAGCCGGCGCTACGGGGCTTGAGGGATGTTGCATTTTGTCATTATTTCTAATGTACAGACAAAATCAAACCGAGTCTGCAAATTTCATGTAATTTTGTTGTGATAAATGCTCCCGAAGGATTACCCTTTCTCCGGGTCTTTGAACAAACACAAATATTTGAACAAACAAACAAACAAACGAACGAACGAACGAACGAACTCAAATGTTTGGGAAAAAAACGACAATAAAGAACTACATTTTGTAATTGTTTGAACAAACAAACACACAAATACTTGAACAAGTATTACGCAATTCAACTTGCAAAGTAAACTTCAGATTTTCTATTCCATTCTTTTTCATCGGCCACAGAACCTGTGTAATTAATTTTGCACGTAATGAAAATTATTCAAAGGCGTTAGAACAGGAAATTACGTCATTTCACGAGGCTCATGGGAATTACCCGCTGAAAAAAAGATTTACGATTTAACAAATTCTAATTTATTTGCCCATTGCCTTGTTATTTTTTGATGCATGAAATGAAAGCCTTGGGATCAATTCTAGCGAGGAATTATTCAGAAAACCATTTCTGCAAATAGTTTGCCGCGCATGTTTAACAAGAAAACATGTAAAAAAGTGAAAATTTATCATGACGGTCTTCTACGAAAAGACAGCCTCAGATCTTGATTTAAACAAATACGAGTTAAAAAAAAACGTTATCGTGCTGTCAAATCTTTAATGCCGATACAAGAATAGAAGTTATAAATAACAAAAAAGTGTTTAAAACGCTTGTCAACATTTTGTTCTGTAGAGCATTGTCCCATTATTCCATTCAGAGCAGCATGCCTCCGGATTCATGCTTATTTTCATGATTTTTTTTTAAAAGTAAAATATTACAAATAACGTAATTTACACATGCCAAACGGCGCCCAAAATCTACGAAAATTATCAAAAATCAAAGCCAAGCCACGAAGTAGAAATATGGTGATTAATACTGCACAATCAGTTGTTAATTGCATACATCTTTAATAATTAATATTTATACTTTTATCAAATCTGAGTTCATTTTTCTCAAAGTTTATTTTCTTGAAATATTTTGGCTCATCGAGTGTCATGTTTTGCATTATTATGATGAATCTATATCAAAATTACAAACATAAGTCATGTAAATATTACATTTTCGATGTTAAAATCGGAGTAAACCGGAAAACAATAACAACAACAACAACAACAACCACAGCTGCAGCAGCAGCAGCAGCAGCAACAACAACAACAACAACAACAACAATAACAACAACAAAAAGAATAGAGAAGAAGAAAAAACTGTCCCAAAAAGTCCTAAAATAACAAACAAACACACAAACAAACACAAAGCTGTGATAATTCAACTTATTGTGCAAATCAAAACTATTACCAGCTGCTTTACAGCACGCCTCAAGATTCATGCTAATTTTCATGTAAATTTTGAAAATGTATTTGAATGTGTAATATTGTGAAGGAAACAAAAGGAAACAAATACAATGTACACATTATCAATGGCACTTACAAACCACGTAAATTACCAAAAAGTGGTCAAAATATGCATACAGTAACTATAGTCATTACTGCGTTAGTAATGCAGTAGAAATATAATTTTAAATACTGAAAAATCAGTTATTAATCGCACATAATATGTAAAATATTGAATCTTGAAACTTTTTACTTTTCCTAACATCTTGGTAGATTTTTCTCAAGTTTTATTTCATTGAAATATTTTGACTCATCTGGATGCATGTAGCTTTAAGGTCAACACACACGATCATATAAAAGTAACATATTTCAAACGAAACATGTAGTCTTGGTTGCTTTGATGGGCATTATTTTCAATTTAAAACATTACTTTTGTCTGTTTATTATTGGCATGTTTTTATACTATTCATATAACTTAGGCTTCGGGTTTATCTTTAATCCTTTGAAAATGTTTCTGTTTCATATTATATTCTGTTTCATATTATAAACTAAACATTGACAGCTACTTAAAATATCTATGACTTGATTGAGTGGATTATAAAATCTTAGCCTGGGTTCCAGTTTGTCCATGTTTTATGTGCTTCTGTTCCGCAAATCGACATCATCAAAAAACGAACGAGTATGAAATAGCGCGTATATTATGAATAAGCAAAAAATATCAACGCCTGAATTCGAGGCTAATAAAATCTTTGCTATTACTAATACTAAATGTATAACTGAAATTTTATAATTTTTACTTTTATGTCAATGATGAACGATTATAATGTGTGAATGGGCTCTTTTATTTCACAAGCACTTACGACCGGATGTAAAGCACTCCACATTTTCAGACATATTTCTGGATACATTTAAGCTTTTATCGTATCAAAATTTGTAACAGGAAAGACTGTAAAAGCAGCTTTATTTTGAAATGATCTTAACTATTATATGGAAATGTTTCATTACAGGATTCTGCGTAACGGACAATTTGCAGACGACAACACTTAACAGGCGACAAAAATTAACTCAACGGACGACAAAGTAAACATTCGACAAAACTCGACATACGGCAAAAATCACATTTCATTCAAAAATAGTTCCTTCAAGTATCTGACGACAAAATTTACAGACAACAAAATTAACAGAAAACCAAATTGACAGACGACAAAGTCAACAGGCGACATAACAAACGACCGAACTCAGCATACGACAAAATTCAACAAACACGATTGTCCTTGTTTATACTTCAGTTCATAGAAGTAAGTCTTAAATAATTGTCAATCCACATTGTCTGATATCCAAGTTTTCGCGC